GACAAGTTATTAAAGTATTATTTAAAGCAAAAACAGAACCTAGATATTGATCAATAAAGAAACAATTAAGTGAGATACATGCATTCTAGCACAGCCATTAAAATGTTAGTGTTTTAGCCATATGTAAAAGTTCTCATAGAAAGCTAAGTGGGAACCAAAGAGAGCATACAAAATTCTATGTGTAATGCAATTACAGTCATATAAAAGTAACAACTCGATAAGAGGTTCAATAAAGTGTCCTGAAACAACAGTGATGTGCTTTCATTTCCTCCATCCTCCAATTTTCTGGATTATTTTCTGCATTAATGGTAATAGCTACCCCATACCTCTTAGCCTAGTAAAATACAAATACACTGAAAAAGAATAGTCAAAACTTAAGAGTGCACTTTAGCAGCACAGACATTCTGTACTGGTGAGAATTAAAGAGATAATATTCTAGACAGAAATACCAAGCACCTAAAACATACGTCATTCCACACTTAAAATGAATCGCCAGAGTTTTTTCAAATGTGGCTACTTGAAGGTAGCTGAGTACCACCAACAGTGGTAGTAAAATGCTTTTAACAACTATATAGTTAGCTTTATCTACCAAAATAAGTCTAATGAGCCGCTATCATGTCATACTTCAAAGGACACACTGAACACTTCTACTTTAGAGCAGCATAAGCTCCATGGGTTGATACAACACCTAAAGTATTTCCTAAGAGAATTATTCTTTTTAAGAATACTCAGATTTCCTTTGACCTCCAACATATGGGAGGTATCACTGTTCATCTAAAGAAATCATGGGCAACAGTGCAACAGAATATTTTCCAAGAAAAGAAGTTCAGTTCTTGAACTGATTTTGACCTCCAAAATAAGTGAGTCAAAGAAATTAGTTATTTGTCTACATAACGCCACATGACAAGAAACACTAAGTTTATCAGGTTTGTTTTTCTCCAGCTGAAAATACATTTGGAGCTCAATTTGTCATAATTATTTTATGTAGATATAATCGATTCTAAATATCTTAAGAACTGCAAACTTTACTGATGCTAATTTCCTTCACATGATCTGCCTCATGTGTTTGGTCTTTGAATTTTAAATCTAAGAAAAGAAGACAAATATTTAAAAGCAGCTGAATTTTCCAAAAGCCATACATTAGTCACTATTTATGGAAACTTCACTTTCTGTACAAAGAACTTTTTCGGTTTGCTTACTGGGAGGTGAGGGTCACAGGGGAACAACAGGCAATGCCCTGATGCTATTCCCAGCACATTACCAAGGAGCCAATGGGGGAACCGAGTGGCACCAGGGTCACACTGCATACACAGCATGTCCCAGCTCTTTAGTTATCTCCCTAGCCCATTCTTTTTTAAAAAATATATATATATTTTTAAATTGTTCACAATAATTTATTACATTTAATATTCCAACACCAATCCCACCACCACTACACCTTCCCACCACCGTTATCTCAAATTTTTCCACTACCCAAGCCTGTCCCAAAGGCAGATCCTAAGTAATTTATTTTATATTGCTTGTAATGAATAATCTGCTAAAAATGATCCAAAAAGGTTTCCTTAGAGGAAAGTGTGTGGAAATTGTTGTATCTCATTTTGGAGCCATTAGGCCCTTGTACAAGAGATTTTAACATGTTTGTTACAGTTTGAGCCTTGTGAGCTATATATAGATATCTAGATATATCTATATATATATATATAGATATTTTTTTTAATCAAGATCAGTTGCCTTCTATTTAACACCCCATCAAATGTGGTGCTCTACTCTTGGTAGTAGCATAAAGTATGAGATGTTGTGTGGCCACAAATGCTGCCACATGCTCTAGAAATTCTAAGTCTCCAACCCCTTCTTATACTAACTGGAATTCTTCCATCAACTGGCACTTACATTGTATACTAAAAATTGACTAAGAATAAACTTTAATAATGTTTATCAACTTTGGAGCTATCATATTTACAAATATACAAATTTTGTGTATTTTATAAAATTATATGTAAAGACAAAATACATGTTGCGGAGAAAGAAAATGAACAGTAGTAACCTGGGAAAGTTTTGTTCTATGTATGAAGTAACTATATATTTTGTCTACCTTCTTTTTATCAGTCACCTCTTTCAACTTGGTATCATGAATTTCTACCTCCACCCAATTTTATAAGGAAAGTTAATTTTATAGCCAGCATTACTTTCTCTTGGCTATCTGTAATAGTCAACAAAAAGTTCTGAAAATGCAAATGCCTGATCGAGAAGCAGAGATGAGGCATTAGGTTGTCTTTTTCCACTGAAATCAAATCTGCTTAAAATGTCTCACACTGGGGCTGGAACAACAGTACAGTGGGTAGGGGATTTGCCTTGCATGTAGCTGACCCAGGTTCAATTCCCAGAATCCCATATGGTCCTCTGAGCACTGCCAGGAGTAATTCCTGAGTGCATGAGCCAAGAGTAAGCCCTGTGCATCGCCGGGTGTGACCTCCCCCCAAAAAAATCTCACACATCTCTATTTCAAGCAAGTCTTTAAAGATTCTATTCTGAACTGCTAACAAATAGCACTCTCTGAAGGGAAACTGTCTTGGTTATACTGGGAGAAATTTATTAACTAAATTCCCCATCCACTTACCAAATTTACCAATAATACAATAACTGCAGGGAAAACATTTGCTATCAATCAACTACATTTCTCATCCAGACCTACTTCTATCCTTAAATATTACAATCTGATTTCTAAATTAATTTCTGAAACTGCAACCTGGGACTCATATCGTCAAATTCAAAGATCTTTTTCTTTTTCTGGGGTTTGGGGGTACCTTTGCCCAGCAGTGCTCGGGGACTGCTCCTGGTTGTGCTCAGGAGCTGCCCGTGGCAGTTCTCAGGAGACCACGCAGCATCAGCTACAAGCAAGGCAGGTAAGTGCCTTAATCCTTGTATTATCCATACAACCCCCAAAACTTTTTAAAGTCTTCATTCTACCTCTCCCACTTTTGGAAATACCTTTTCTTTTTCCCCAAAGGAGCTTAGTGCTGCACACTCTCCATGACTCTGGGTGCAACTTTTATTTTAGAGGGCTCCTCAGCACTGCTAGGAGCTGGGCCTGACAGTTCAGTGCCTGTGCCTAGCATATGGTCTGCTTAGCCTGGCCGTGCTGGAGCCTCCTAGGGCCTATCTTGTGATCCTTAGGGGACCAGGCAACATGGGAGACTGAAGGCAGAACCTCATGTGACAGGCATGTGCTCCAACTCAAAATCTGTTGTGGGAAACTCTCTTCCTCATTCGTTTCTTTGTCAAACTTGGTTTCTATGGTTAACAACACAGTCTCTAAACTCATAATTCAAATTCTAACCCTTACTCTCTGTGTGAATATAGGAAATTTACTGAACAGCTATGTCCTTAAGTTGTGTGTGCATGTGTTCCTGCATGTGTGTGTGTGTGTGTGTGTGAAAGAGAGAGAGAGAGAGAGAGAGAGAGAGAGAGAGAGGAGAATGGAAGAATGGAAGTAGTGCCTAACTCACAGGTACTATGAGGAGGAAATAGAAGTACATATGTGTTAGATACAAGAATGCATCTACAACAGAGCATTGAATAAACTAAGTACTGGCTATCAGTGGCCTGCATGCCACAAAAGGATGAGCAGGCCCAGTGGCTGATACCATCATTACTACTACTTCAAAACTTACTCTTTCAAAGAAATCAGCTTCTACAGATTTAACCACAGACATTTAAGCTAATGATGCCTGAAACATGCTCTGGTTTCCTATTTCCAAATTCCTATAAGCTCATTTCATTTGGAAAGCTCATGACTGGCTCAAACTCAAAGGCTTTCAATAAACTCCTCATTACACTCTAGTCTTCAAGGTCTCTGTTTCGATTTCCTATTCTGACTTCACATTTTTTCGTCTAGTCTCCCAAAGTTTAAAACCCTGGAGTCCTCTTTGAGTATTCCTTTTCGACTGCCCCTGGAAAGAGGCTAGCAGATATCCAAAGTGCAGACCCCACACTTCCTCTCCTTCCCACATCTGCCATCCAAGTAAAAGTTTTCAGTCCACAAGTCTTGCCCATGTTTTTAAGGCTGACTTCGCCTACATTTCTTTTTTCACATAAAACTACTTTTCTAATCTGCCTTCCTGTCTACCGCCTCATACAATAAAGTCTGAACCCAGCAACATACCTTTTAAGATTTAGTGGTCAAGGTCCTTCACAGTCCAATCTCATTTCCCACTTCAGCAGGAGGGGTTTTCAGTGGCTTCACATGGTCAGTGTGCCTACGTGAAGTCTGGGGCACTGAGCACGCTCCATGCCTACTTCTGTGGTCAGGCCCATTGTGGTCACATTCGAGATCCAACTCAAAACTCACAACCCTAGCTAGCCTTAAGGCACTGTTCAGTTTTCTTTCTTCACTTTCTAAAGTCTCTCCATTCTCTCCAGGAATTTCTCAAAGCTCTATCTGGCTGAACACCATATTGCTTTCAAATTGTATAGCCTAGCATTTAGTGTGTGAAAACAATGTGCAATGTATAAAAAAGCTATACGTCATTCACACCAGGAGAACACTATATCTTATGTGTTTTGTTTACCCCACAGCACCTACAAGGGAGTAGTTATTGAACATGCACTGTACAGTGAAGACGTAGGGAGTTCCAAAATTTTAAAGCCTTAATTTGGACACCGTCAGATACAGCATCTTCTCTGAAGGACCAGGTCTCAGACTTCGTGGGCCACCTAGAGTCTCTGACATGTGTTTTGTTTTGTTTTTTTTAACTTTTTAAACCATAAAATTTCCTCTTTGTGAGCCCTACATCAATTGTTTATAGGCTAGATGTCACCGCTAGACCTTAGTTCACCCCCCACTGCCTCCTCAAAAGAACACTTAGTTCACTGTGTACATGAAGGGTGCCTCTAGTTTAATGTTTTTATTAATACTTAACTAATTTTCTAAATGTGGTCAAACATCCAACAGGACTCCAGAGCTCTGACATGAACAAAACAAGTAACCCCTGGGTTCTTACCAGCTCTTTCAGACTTTTCCTTCTGTTCCCGCAATTCCTCTCCCTGAGTTGTCATCTGCTTGATGCGACTTCGAAGCTGAGCAATTTCTTCTTCTTTCATTTCCAGGGTCTCATGCATCTGACGCTTTGTCTCTGCTATCACCATTCCCTAAACAGAAGTGTAGACTCTAGAGTGTTTGCATAACAAAGTTGCACGATCAACCACACTTATCAAACTCACATTAAAAGGCAGAAAACTTCCTACTTCTTAAAGACAGCATAGGGACTCTTCCAGAATATCATAAACCGAAGCCTGCTCTGTACTTTGTACTAGACTCTAGATGACAATAATCTTGGTTAACTGGCATGATATCAAGTATTTCTGATAAGAGAAAATTACTTTCATGGCAAGTTTTATCTCTGAAGCATTACAAACATTTTAGTTAAAAGGCTTATTTCATAGTCTTTCTATAAATACTTGCCATAATTTTCCTTATCTCAGCTTACAGTAACAAGACACAGCCTTTTGTACTGGCCCAGAGCCCAAGGCTGAGCCACAAGCACTGATTTATGCTGTCACGAAGGAAGGCCTCGAAGGTGTTGGGAGCCTCAGGCTGCTGCTGCCTCCTCAACAGTGGCTCAGAACTGTGCACCAATGTATCTGAGTTTCCTCTCTCTGCTGCTGGTAGCTCTCACCTCATCCATTACTCCACTTGCTCTTGGTGAAGTACTACTACTATCTTTCCATTCACTGGATTATCTACTCAAGAAATGAAGATCACTGAGATCATAAAATATTATATCTAAAATCAGTCGTATATGATAAATACACATTTGCAACTAACCAAGCAATGGAATGAATTTTTTTTTTTTTGCTTTTTGGGTCACACCCAGCAATGCTCAGGGGTTACTCCTGGCTTGGCACTCAGAAATTACTTCTGGTGGTGCTTGGGGGACCATATGGGATGCTGGGAATCGAACCCGGGTTGGCCGCGTGCATGGCAAACGCCCTACCCACTGTGCTATCGCTCCAACCCCAAGAAATGGAATGAAATTTCTAATTCCCTGACAAATTATCTCTTAAAAGATCTTATGACAGGGTCAGGGATATAATCAATGATAGATCAGTTACCCTGCTTTAATGTAAACCTTTAGCTCTAATTACCAGCACCTTCAAAAAAAAAATTAAAAACACTTGGGCCCAGAAAGATGGCTCAATCTGCAGAAATGCGTGCTTTGCATGCGGAAGGCCTGGGTTCAATCTATAGCAATACATGATCCTTGAGCACTAATTGGCGTAGGCCCTGAGCATCACCAAATCTGGCCTCTTTCAACCCTACACCCAACAAGGATCTTATAACAGATGTTCTTTGTCTTAAAACTACTCCCTTATTTCCAAGGTTCATCAAATCATGACTTTAGGATGACTCTACCAAATGCTTAACATTATCAATGGAAAGGTAATATATCAATGGGTCAAGTAAGTGGGGCATACTTACATAAAATTTCAAAAAATTGTTCTGATCCTTTAGTTTCATCAAAACCAAATTCAACAAAAAGGAAAAAGGGAAAAGACAAAGAGGGTAATGGAACTATATATATAGATTATGAGAAATTATAACAGTCACATCAATTACAACAAAAGAAACTTATTAGGACTGCAACTCCTTGAAATAGGGAAAGAATATATGTGATGACAGTAGGGGAAATCTGAACTAGATCAGTGGTCTTCAACAGCCAGTCCACAGACCAGTGCTGTTCCACCAGCATGGTGAGGTTGAAAACCACTGACCTCCAAAACAAAAAAAAAGAAAACAGAATAGACAGTTGAGAAAATTGAGAAATTATTGGGGCCAGAGAGATATTACAGTGGGTAAGGTGCTTGACTTGCATGCAACCGACCCTGTTTCAATCCCCGGCATCCCATATCGTCTCCCAAACCTGTCAGGAGTAATTTCTGAGTACAGCCAGGAGTAACCCTTGAACATTGCCAGTATGACCCAAAAATTTGACAAATAAACAAAAATTTAAAAATTACTAAAGTTTCAAATGTGACCCCATTGTCACTGTCAATGTCCTCCTGTTGTTCATCAATTTGCTCGAGCAGGCCCAGTAACGTCTCCATTTTGAGACTTGCTGTTACTGTGTTTGGCATATTGAATACGTCATGGGTAGCTTGCCAGGATTTGCCATGCGCGCGAAATACTCTTGGTAGCTTGCCGGGCTCTCCGAGAGGGGCGGAGGAATCGAACCCAGCTCGGTCAGGCTGGCTGCGTGCAAGGCAAACGCCCTACCACTGGGCTATTGCTCCAGCCTGTGACCCCACTCATGTAGCTAAAATTTCAGAATAAAGAGCCTTGCATTTTAAAAGTATATTAAAATACTATGGGCTAGACATTCTTCAGGACCTTCAATTCATTGAGGATATTGGGGGATGGGAATCTATAAGTGAAGCAAAATTAGCCATGATATATCAACTGTTGAAGCTGGGTAATGGGTACACAGGAATTAATTTTCCTTATTCTTTCTGCTTGCATATAAGTTTTTCCTAAGAAGTTTTTGTTTTTTATGTGGGTCCATATGAAGTTTACAGAGAGAATCTAGCAAAGACAGTATCAAATTAAAAAAAAAATTATTGATATCTTTTTTTTTTTGAGTGGGGGGTGGGGATACACCTGACTGTGCTCAGGGCCTACTCCTGGCTCTGTGCTCAGAGATCACTTCTGGCAGTACTAATATGCAATGCTAGGTCGGCGACATGCAAGGCAAGCATCTTAACCATTGTACTATCTCTTCTGCCCCTTACCAATACATTTTAATAGCAGAATAGCTCTGACATGTTCTTAATCACATGGCCTCTTAAAATACTCTATCTCCAAAGTTGCCTATTAAAAAAAGAAAATGTTAGATGGTCCATTTACTAACTGACATCTGGAGTTTTAAAAAAGGGCCCTAGGATTTGGGGAAGCAAGACTTGGTTCTAAATCATGTGCCAGTGCACTTGCCAGTTGTTTTTGCTTCTATAGTTAGAGATGCTGCTTCAATTCTGACTGCCAATCTCACCAATTCATTCTAAATTTTAGCTGCAGAAATTTATTTATACTAATAACAATTCTTTACTTTTAGGCATTATCTCTGAAAGACTGATCAATTTCTGCTATATCTGAAAAACATGTCTTCTATCACTCACATTTAGTAAGGCCTTAATTCTGAATAACATCTCTAAAAAGTATCGTTCCTTGCAATAGTTACTCTAATATATAAATCAGAATGCTGACTGAATTCAAGAAATCATAGAAAATCAGCTTCACATGACACACAATGAAAGCTAATAGTAATGTAAATCTAGAAATCAAAACAAAAGTAGTATCATGGAAGCAGCTGCTTTTTGAAATTCAGAAATCTAGATGCTTCCAACTGCTTCCAAATGTGAATTTTTGATCCCCTAACAAATCTTAGTATCATAAGTTTTGTTTTTTTTTTTACCTTATCTTGTTCAAGCTGTTCAATTAAGTTCTTTGCATCTCGCAACTGAGTGATAAGTTTAGTCTTCTCAGCCATATGAAGCTCCTAAAAAAATTTTAAAAATTCATTGCCATCTCTAATAATGCTTCTCCTCATTATGAGAACTCTAAGCATTCCATCTAATTTGGATATTCCTCAGAGGGAGAAAAGTACACATGGCATCTCAAAAGTGTAGGAACACCTATGGAGTCAGGGCATCTGGGGGCCCTCTCCATTCTACCTAGGGAGGAAGGGGAAGTTCTTCCAGGAGGAGAAGGCCAAGGGGGCCTATGAATCTAGCTTTATAGGGCAACATTGAACTCAAACCCATCTGATCTTTTACCTTCATCTTTTCTAGTTCTTGAAGCCGTTCATCTAGTTGCTCCTGCAGTGCTTCCTTCTCACTGGTTAACAGTGCACACTGCTCCTTATGAGACTGGATTGTTTTCTTACACCGCTGCAACAGATTCTCTTGGCGCTTGACTCTCTGTTGAAGTATTTCCAATGTTTTAGCAGAAGTTCCATCGTCCACTATTAGTGACAAAACAGGACAAGGAGGTACAGTCAGTAAGAAATAGAAGGGCTCCCTGGCAACGTTAATTTTTGAGAACACAAGAGAATATTCTTCCTTTTGTTGGAGGGTGCTGTGTCACACCTGAAGATGCTAAGGGGATACTCCCAGCTCTGTGTTCAGGAGTGATCTCTGGTGGTGCTCTAGGGACCATATGTGGTGCAGGGGACTTGAACCAGGGTCAACTGCAATGCAAGAGTCTTATCTCTGTGCTATCTCTCCAACCCAATATTATACGCGTACTTATAGTAAGTGCATCTCTTCATTTTCGTTCTCCCTATTTGCTCTTAAGTCACTGCAGTGATGCTCTGAGTTTTGCACCTGGTGAGATATTCAAGGGATCATATACATTACCCAGGATCAAACCCAAGTTGACTGCATACAAGGTAAGCTCCTGAAACCCCTGTACTACCTCTCCGGTCCAAGTGAGTATTCTTTTCTTTTTTTCCTTTTTCTTTTTGGGTCACACCCAGCAATGCACAGGGGTTATTCCTGGCTCTGCACTCAGGCATTACTCCTGGCGGTCCTCAGGGGACCATATATGATGCTGGGAATTGAACCCGAGGTCGGCCTAGTGCAAGGCAAATGTCCTACCTGCTATGCTATTGCTCCAGTCCCTCAAGTGAGCATTTTTATCTCAGTTCTCCACTTCTCTCTGAGCCAGATCAACTAGACAAGGAACCTTCCAACCTAGGTTCTTTCACAATCTGTTTGATCTTTATCTAAAGAGGTGTAGTATTCTATTCACTTTTTCTGTGATTCAATCCCACTGCACAGACACAAAACACTCACTAGTCAACTAACATTAATTCAATCCATCCTCTCTGAAAGATAGCTGAGGATCATCTCTTGAATTCAAACTGTACCAGAGTTTCAGCATCTGTCTCAGAAAACTTAATGAAGTATAGTCATGTGCCACTTAAAAACAGCAATGCTCTGAGAAATGTCACTGTGTGAATGTCAAAGGGTATAATCACACAAACACAGATGGCCCACAACCCCAGTCGTATATAATGGTTCCTACCACCATGATAATCTATCATCGACTAGAACATCATTATGTGTTTGGAACAAGGCTATATTCATCCCATTCTTTTTTTTTCTTTAGAGAGGGGGTGGGGGTTTTGCGATCCACACTCAAAGGTGCTCATGGCTTACTCCTGGCTCTGTACTCAGGGACCACTCCTGGAGGATTTAGGAAAACATATAAAATGCCAAGGGTCCAACCCAGGTCGGCTACTGGCATCCTACTCACTGTACTATCACTCTGGTCCCAACCACATTCTGATCCCTTCCTATGACGTTTTCTCCATCTCCTTATACTGAGGGGCAATGTCTACTAACCCTGACAAGGAAATTTCAGGGCTGAGAGGTAGTCTCTCTGATGGAAGCTGCCCAGCACCTTACTCTGGATGGACCATCGTTTATCATAACCTTCTCTGAAAGAGCAAATTAGAAGTAGGAATCTTAATATGTATCACAAAGTTTAAAAAAAATAAGCAAGACTATAACTAACTTCTTTTTGTTTTTGTTTGGGGGCCACACCTGGTGGTGCTCAGGGGTTACTTCTGGTTCTGCACTCAGGAATTACTCCTGGCAGGCTCAGGGAACCATATGGGATGCCGGGGTTTGAACCCAGGTCAGTCAGGTGCAAGGCAAGTGCCCTATGTACTGTACTAACATTCCAGCCCCAGACTAACCTAAAATTTAAGATACAACCTAGCTGTTCTTTCATTTCCAGTTAGATATCCAATAATATGTTAAATATAGTACTTTGGTATATAGAAATACATCATGAAACTTACTTAAAACTCTAAAATAACTTAACAATTGCAAATAGTTTTTATAGCTAATCTATAGCTCATATATTCTTCTTTAGTCCTGAGTGGAACTGACCCAGCAATATGAAATCAAGCCACTGCAATCAATAAGGTAGTGTACAGAAATTTCATTACAATAAAACATTCACAGCACTGTTCACAGGCTTTAAAGTTTTACAATAACTTATTAGTGGCTTTCTCCTGAATAACAATAAGAAAGAACCAAAACAAAACAAAAACTCTTGCCCATTTCTGGAAATACTGGGATCAAGGATACTTTACTTTTATTCTCACTCCATGCCCCAAAACCTCCCAACATCCTCCTCGGTGTTTTCATAAATCTCTGACAAGAGCGACTCACCCACTGGCTGCTCTCCATCACTCTCGGGGCTCTCTTTAGGAGAGTCTTCAGCTTGAGGCTCTTCCTGGGGGAGTGGTGTCAACAAAGCCACACTCATAGGACCATTTCGCAACCTTTGTTTCAGCAGAGAAACCTAAAAATAATTTACTTCATTGGGGGAAAAATGGCTAGAAAGGAATGTTGGCAATCGTAATTTACTTTAAAACATGATAAAATGTCCAATTTTCTAAACTGGTGGAAAAATGTAAAATACAAAGTTTATTCCCACTACAAATTCTTTTCTGTTTTCAATACTGCCAACCAAAAGAGTTAATCTAATATTGATCCTAGAACTGAAGAAAAGCAAAAAATTTGAGAAATTCATTTTTCTTAACATGTGGAACCAACTAAAAACTCCAATGACCCCCCTTTATTTTTCTTTCCATCTTTTACCTGAGTCTGGAGAACACTAATATACTGATCTTTTTCCTCTAACGATGCATCAAACTCCTCTTGGAGATGTTTCTTTGCTTGCTGGTCCATTTGGAGCTCCTAAAACAAAAAATTATGAACAGAGAATATTCAATATAAAATTAAAATACAAACATGAAGCTTTCAAAGTTTAGAACAAAAGTGATAAATTTAGATTTGCCTTCCTCTTAAAGCATTAGCAACAACAAAGAATGCTCAGCTTTTAAAATTAACTTTTGTGGTGGTGGCTTTTTCCCCCCTCTGAAGAGTCAGTCTCTCTCTCTCTCTTTCCTTCTCTCTCTCTCCTCTCTCCTTTCTCTATCCCTCTCCCTTCCTTTCTCCCTCTCCTTCTCCCCCCCACTCACAATTCTCTAAATACATTTCCTTAAATAAAACTATTTTACTTCATTTTAAAACAATATATTTATAACAACAATTTTGTTCCCCAAAGAACCTGAAAGTAAAGTTTACTTTTATAGCTGTGATGACTGTTGAGCTGGCATGAATATTTAAAAAACTACTTAGGGGGAAAGTAAAATTTCATTCTAGTTTTCTACTTTAAGACATCTTATTATTTGTGCTCTACACTTGATCTGAAACTAACCTGCCATTATATAACAAATTAATAACCAAGAGAGTCTTCCTGTACCCAATTTATGAACGTGTTAAGACCACAATCAGAGACTGAAAATGAAGGGGCTGAACTAGCTAGAAGAGTAAAACAGTTTCTGAACCAATATAAATGCTGCATCTTGGGTGACGAATGAGGCTTTCGAGGTAAATCCAATCATCTTTATCTCTCCACTATACCAGTCACCGGGAAGTCCCTCCTCAGTTGAGGCTACTGCCCCATGTGTTTCCAGACTTCTGTCTATACTCCCATCTCTTTCAGCTTCTTCTAGATTCTACCGGCATTATCCCTCAGGGATCATGACTTTACACTACCTCCACTAGAATGCTAAAGAGTAGCACTCCATATCTCAGACGAAGCCCTGGATTTTACTGGGATTCATTCATATTCCTCTAATTCCCTAAACTCAAATTATTCAGTCACGTTTTACTTGCTGCATATAGCCAAATTCCTTTATGATTTTCTCTAAAACATTTAGGTCCTTCTCTCTCCACATTCACAATCATAGTCTAGATGAGTGTTTCTCAATCAGGGCTATCTGGCCTCCTGTGGGCCCTAGCCATAGTCCCACAGGTGACAGTCACATCATGGGGAGCCATGATACACAAGCTAGGGGGTCAACCAAGAGAACAAAGGGGCCACGGGAAGGAAACAAGGTCAGAAGGGGGCCAGTATTGGGAAAGGGCTGAGAAACACTGGCCTAGATCTCTGGAACTTCCTAAAATTTCATCTCCGTGATCATCTACAGAGAACTCTTACCTGATTTCATTCCTTCCTCTGATTTTAATCCATTCCTCCCACTCGACAGGAACTTTTGGGCAAGTAATATTTTCAAGAACTTATGAGCAACGCCTTCATTTTGAACTCTATCAAAGTTACTATTTCTCAGTACACTGAGGCCCTGATCCAGAACTAGCTGTCCTCTCGGCCCAAGACCTCAAAGAGCACAAGATTTAAAGTTCCTCTCACAAAAGAAGGGCGTGACACCCTCCCTTAGCAGCAGTCTCTAAATAAGGGTCTTCACAATATATCCCAAGTGAAGCTTCCAGCAGCCACGGCAAAATAGGGTCAATGCAGAGAGAGTTGATCTTAGACTGGTACTTCTTTCATTTAAGTAACTACTTTATTCTCAGAATGTTGTTCCTGATAATTTTGTTAAAAACTTTCAAAGAAACACCACAAAAAGAAATCTGATTCCTTATTCTCAAAATTCTTACTTGAAAAAACTAGTCAGACAAGCTATGGCAATTCTTTTACCCATTTCTGGAAGGAGCTAGAAGGCCCTGAAATCCGGAGGTTACTATGCCCTGCTCTCCATAGCATAGTACCGGCCAACTCTCTAGTCTGAAACAGATGCCTGTTTCCTTAACAGCACTGTGTCCATAGATACGTACATCTATGCCATATGGGGAAAAATAAAATACTAAAAGAATACTTGTTAGATGCCTAAGATAGCAATATGAAAACAGTACACACAGGAGCCGGAGAGACAGTACAGTGGGTAGAGCACCTGCCCTGCACACAACTGACCTGGGTTTGATTCCCAGCATCCCACATGATCCCTGCCAGTAGTAATTTCTGAGTTTTCTGCATGCAGAATCAGGAGTAACCCCTGAGCACAGCTGGATGTGCCCGCCCACCACCAAAAAAAAAAAAAGAATGCCCCCCAATCCCCCCCAAAAAAATTACACACAACTTTGTTCTGTCTAAATGAGTCAAGTTCTGATGAAACAATGTTCATCTTCTATTCAGACTTTAATCCCAAACAAAACACTTATGAGATATGATTCTGAATGATTAAATCTAACTATGATTTTATAGGTTATAGTTTAGTTGAAAGCTACAGTTCAGACATATACCTTATCTAACAGAAAATAGTTTAAATGCATGCCAAATAGGTTTTTACTACTGGCTAACCCCTTGCTTCTCGTCCTTTCTCTTTTTCTTTCCTTCTTTTTTTTTTTGAGAGGGAGAAGGGTGGGGCCTGGGGAAGGGTTGGCAGCACAACCAGCTCTACTCGGAAGCTACTCCCAGCTTGGTGCTCAGAGTCATTCCTGGCGGTGCTCTGGGGAACCTATTCAGTGCTGGAAACCAAACCCAGAGCCTCACATATTGAAGGCAAGTGCTCTACCACTGAGCCACAGCCCTGGCCCAAAATTTTACCTACTTATTTTTTGGTTTGTTCTGTTTTGTCCTACACTGTTCTGATTTTAGAGGCAATACCCAGCAGTGTTCAGGGGCTACTCCCAGCTCCTGTCATTGCTGGAGAGGGATGGTGGAGATAATTGAGGAGAGGTCAATGACGTGCAGGGGACTGACCCCAGGCCTCGAGCAAACAAAGCCTGTGCTAAGGCAACTGAGCTCTCGCTCAGGCCCCTTCCCCTGTACCTAAGGAGCTGTTTCTGGGCCAATTCATTATATATAGTCTTCACAACTGGCAGCGGGAGAGACAGAATAAACCCCCTCCCCGAGAAAAAAATAATATATTTTATAGATATTAGTTTGGAGGTTCTAGCAGGGGAGCGCAGCTACTCGTATACCCTCGACCGAAGACCGGTCCGTCTCTATCGGGGAAGGCCGTCCTCTTCGACCGAGCGCGCAGCTTCGGGAGGGACGCACATGGAGCGGTGAGGGAGGAAGGGGACACCCGCCTAGCCAGCCAGATCAGCCGAATCAAGCCTGGCGATCAATGGGGTGACAGATGTCGCAGCCAGATCGCCCTCACATCCTGCTGGAGCGATAGCACAGCGGGTAGGGCGTTCGCCTTACAAGCGGCCAACATGGCCGACCCGAGTTCGATTCCTCCGCCCCTCTCGGAGAGCCCGGCAAGCTACTCAGAGTATTGGATATGCCAGACACAGTAACAACAAAGTCTCCAATGGAGACGTTACTGGGCCCGCTCGAGCAAATCGACGATCAACGGGAGGGCCTTTTATAGATATTAGTATAACCAAAAGATGAACAATATTTCAAAAAACTGCAAAAGTAATTAAATTAGGAACCTTGGGGTGGGAAGAATATCCTGGATTATGTGAGTGGGCCAATCTACTCACATGAGTCCTTAAAACCAGAAAACTTTTAGCACTGGAGAACTATAAGAAAAAGCTCAGAGATGCAACAGTGCAAGTTCTGAAGACAGAGGAAGGGGACCATGAGTCAAAGGAGGGAAGAAGCATCCTCAAGAAGGAGGACAAGACACGGAAACAGGGCCTCGGAAAGAGAACATAGTCCTAAACCTTGATTTTAGGACAGTGAGATCTTATCAAACTTCTGAGTGAATACAGTTGTGTTGCTTTAAAAGTCACTCAACTGTAGTAGTTTTGTAGCAGCAGCAATAAAAATTAATGCAGGTGGGAAAATAATAATAATTAAAAAAAAAACTCATCCATTTCTGGCTCTGATAAGTATGTCCTAAGAAAGGAAGAAAAAGTTACTGAATCAAATCATGGATTTGAACATGTAAAAAAAATGCAGTAAGTATTTCTATATAATCTTACCCCTGCAGTCCTCTCATGCCCTCACCAGGAAGGAGGAGAAGAGCTGCAAATCCAATTGGCAGCATCTCTATTGCTCAGAGTCCTGCCTTCTTAAAGGATCGGCAGGTCTGCCTCTAGCAGAGACACTGGCCAAGATGCTTCCTGCCAGGTCTCTCAGTTTGGCCACTGCAATAAGTTAGGCTGGGGCATACCAAGTTGGTAGGCCCTTCCTCTTTTCCCACTCATCTGCCTGTTTCTTAACTTAGATAAAAGGTACTATTTACAAAGAGAAGTTCATATTTACTACAAGCCATCCATGAGGATTCCCATGAATGCACATTTATTTTTTTATAGAGAAGTCTCTGGTCTATACATCCATACCTTGTTTTTTAATATTTTACTTTATATTTTTGTTTTTTGGGGTCACACCCAGCAATACTCAGGGACTACTCCTGGCTCTGCACTAAGGAATTACCCCTGGCGGTGCTTGGGGATCCATATGGGATGCTGGGAATTGAACCTGGGTCGGCCGCGTGCAAGGCAAATGTCCTCCCCACTAGACTATCGCTCTAGCCCCATACTTTCTTAAGCATGGATTCCTCACTGCATGAATCTTAGAAAGAAGAGTGAACAGCAGGAGAAAAAAAAAGCAGGCACAGTCTTCAAAGCTTCCACTGTGTTCATGTAGTCAAGCGATATTCTATTGATATAGAAGACATTCTTATTTCATTGATTCTAACACATTTATCTTAAGAAAACCCTTGAAAAAAAAAACCCTAAGAATTAATCCTTGATTCTAACACCTCTATCTTAAGAAAACCACTTGAAAAAAAAGACCTCAAGAATTAATCCTTGATCTTGTAGACTCAGTATTATAATTAATGAAAAAGAGTATATGAAACTCTCAAACCACATAAAGTAGATCTAATAAGTGAAAGATTTAATTACAATTCTCAAAATACTAATCACAACTTACCTCTCTTAATTCTGCAACTCTCCGAAGTGCTTTATCCTGACTCTGACTTAATATACCCTTTAAAAACAAAACAAAAAATCTGGTTCAAACAACTGCATGACATAGAAATACAAATCAAGTAAAAAAATAACTACTTTCTACAATAGATATTAATCCAAAAATAACCTGAAGATGAAGGATGAAACTGAAATATTAAAGATATGTGCCTATGATGAAATTTTGTTAAAAGTTAAATTGTGGGGGCTGGAGTGATAGCACAGCGGATAGGGCATTTGCCTTGCACGTGGCCAACCCATGGTCGATTCCCAGCATCCCAGGTCCCCTGAGCACCGTCAGGAGTAATACCTGAGTGAATGAACCAGGAGTAACCCCTGTGCATCGCTGGGTGTGAACCAAAAAGCAAAAAATTTTTTAAAAAGTTACATTGTGATGCTACAGAACTGCTTCATGTCTGAACTACCAAAGTGCTTACACAAATCACATTTAAAGCAAACTGAAGTTAATTCTACTATATAGTAATTTAAAAACTGGGTTTCTTAAAGTTAAATTATATTTCAAATGCAATTTATTTCACAGTCCCTAATGTCAATTTTCAGCCTATTCTCCAGGTTGTAGTTAAGAAAGTCCTTTTTTCCATATTTAAGACAAAATGGGGTTTGGGAGAGAGCTAAAGGAATAATATTAATATTGAGAAATGAAATGATTTTGGGGAAGAAATCTAAACTTAGAAGCAGAGTTAACTATAATCCTGGACAATATAAATACATAAAGGCAAAGACATGGGAATAATCTGGAACGCCACTGATGTGTGGAATAAAAACAAATGAAAACAAAAAAAGTTACGCAAAGGTTTGGCTTAGGACCCAGAGTGGGGGCCATACAGGTGAATGAAACAAAAACCAAAGGCTGCTTTTCTCCCTAAAGCCATGACCTCAGGTTGTGTAAGGTTTCAAAGATAAAGTTTTAAAGGCAGTAAGATGAGGCATTTGAAAATGAAATCAGATTTTCTTAGTTACAAGCACCCATTCTTCAATTGGAGTGCCTGAAAGTGGATACGGGCCCTCCTCTGCCCCCTTACAGGGTGAACAAGAATGAAAAAGTCATTCTTACTCAGTTTCCTCCCAGAGGGGTTCATGGACTAAAAACAACATAATAAAAATTATTTAGGGGGTACACACAGCACGACTAAGAGTATCAGCAACTGGGTCCGCTCCACCATAACACAAAAACACAAACACAAAAAAAGTATTGGTGGTACTATTTTATTTTCATTAAATCTACTGAAAGAATATCTGCCTATTTAAGAAAGAACTTTTTGGCCATGCCACACTGTCTACATATTCAGAAAAGAGTACAAATCATTAGAATTTGGTCTCTTAGATCCTTTTATTCTGGGACTGTATGACCACAATTCTCTAGCGCCACCTAGTGGTAAGATTTCATACTACTAGAAATAACTTCATACACAATTCAGACAGAAAAGCATTGGTGCCAGAGAGCTTAGGAACAAAATGACTTTTTGAGATTAAATTTATGGAATGGTAACAAGGAAATAGAATAAATTGGAGTTCATTCCCCTTCAACAGGACTCACACTTAAGAAAATATTACCAAGCACTACAAATTATTTGTAAACATCTAATTTTCACATTATTAGATCCCTAAACCAACAAGAAAAAAATAGGGTTACTATTCTAAAATGATTATATACCAAACCAAAACTAAAAAATTAAAAATATTCATTAAGATTAAAATGTATAGCATATTAAATTTGGAGAGTTTGGGCCCACACCTGGTGGTATTCAGGGCTTACTCTTGGCTCTGCACTCAGGAATCACTCCAGGAAAGCTTATATCAGATGCTGGGGGCCAAACCCAAGTCAGCCACATGCAAGACAAGTTTCCTACCTGCTTATATATTATAATTCTGGCCACAGTATATTAAATATTTTTAAATAACGTGCAAGTAAAATGAATTTTACCAAACTAATTCATAAAATTCATCTTATAAATAACTTTTCATTATGCAGTATCCTTAAATGTGGCAAGTTGAACTGTTTTTAAATAACTAATTTAAAAGTAAGACTATTTTGTAGGGGGCTGGAGGGACAGCACAGCGGGTAGGGCGTTAGCCTTGCACGCAGCCAACATGGCCAACCCGGGTTCAATTCCCAGTATCCCACATGGTCCCCCGAGCACCACCAGGAGTAATTCCTGAGTGCATGAGCCAGGAGTAACCCCTGAGCATGGCCAGGTATGACCCAAAAAGCGGGGAAAAAAAAAAAAAAGACTATTTTGTAAGGAATACAGTAAAGCTCAGGTAGCACCTGAATGGGGGTGGGATTTCCCCTTAGTTCTGAGATCATCTGGGAAACCTGGCATGGAACTTCTGGCCAAAAATGGAATCACAGAGTGGAGCTACCAAGGTAACTCAAAAAGTTACTGTATCTTCTTCTTTCCATATACTTAATCAAGAATTTTTAAGTAGCAGCCAAGAGAAAGAAAAACTTATGATGAGAAGACTCTGTAGGTATTAAAAGAGAATGGAAACCATAAGTGGTTGTTTATATTTTTATCACTAGAACAACATGTAGTTTTAAACACGAAGAATTCCATATACTTGAAGAGGCAAACAAATCTTAAATTTTTTTTTTTTGCTTTGCATTTTTGTTTTTGTGCCATCACTGGATCACTTGATACCCTGTTATTCATCAATTTACTCGAGCAGGTGCCAGTAACGTCTCCATTCATCCCTGTTGCGTGCTAACGTAGCCCAATGGCATCTGCTCGTTCTAGGAACATGCAGAGCCTCAAACCAATCATTCAGGGTCTTGACGAAGAAGTCTGACCATCTTGTAGGTGGGTGTGCACACGATCTTTTGACATCCCGTGGAATCCAGTCAGTAATGGCTCTAGTCCAGTGGTCATCTGTAAACCTCATTATGTGTCCAGCCCATCTGATTTTTGATGCCTTGGCAAATGAGACGGCATCCCTGATTCTTGAGTGTTGACGGAGATCGGAACTCCGGATTCTATCTCTCATTTGAGTGAAGCGTGATACTCCAAGCATAGCTCTTTCGATTCCTCTTTGAGAGACCCGAATAGCGTTCTCATCCTGTTTTTGTAGGGCCCAGGTCTCTGAGGCATGTGTTAATGCAGGAAGAACAGTGGAATCGAAGAGATGTGCTCGGAGCTGGAGGTTCTTTGTCCTCTTAGTTACTTCTTCAACGCTCTTGAAGGCATTCCATGCCGCTCTCTTCCCCCTGCATAACTCAGGTGCCAGGTCATTCATCATGTTGATATCTCGGCCTAGGTATATATAACTGTTGCATTCGGAGATGGTGGTTCCGTTGAGAGTGAATGGAGCATCAGGAACAAGACTGTTTATCATGAACATTGTCTTTTTGAGATTCAGTTGTAACCTGACCTTTCCACACTCACGGTTGAAGTCGGTCAGCATTTGTGCTGCTTGGCTGATGTTTGGTGTTATTAGAACGATGTCATCAGCAAAGCGGAGGTGGTGTAGTTGCCGACCATCTATCTTCATTCCCATTCCTTCCCATTCCAGTCATCGCATGATGTTCTCAAGGGTGGCACTGAAGAGTTTTAGTGAAATGATACCAACCTGCTGAACCCCTCTCTTGACACGGATGATTACTTCTTTGTAGAATACTGAGATCCTGGTAGTGAATCCGTAATAGAGCTCATGGAGGATCCTGATGTATTGAGTTCGTACGCCCTGACTGGCTAGGGCTTTGATGACCGCTTCCATCTCAACAGAATCAAAGGCCTTCTTTAAATCAATGAATGTTAGACAGAGCGGCCATATCCTGCAGTATTCAGGGCTTACTCCTGGCTCTGCACACAGGGATCACTTTTGGCAAGGCTCAAGGAACCATGGGGTGCCTGGGATAAAACCAGATTGGCTGCATGCAAGGCAAGCTCCCTACCTGATGTACTATAGCCCTAACATGTCTTAAATTTGAACTTATTAAGAGACTGCAGGGATTCAAAGCTTAAGGAAGTCAATTTCTACCAAAGAACAAACCTCAGGGATTTCTAACTCTCTTTTCAAAATTCCAGCAATGATAAAAACAGGTTAAATATTTATCACTTGGAGAATTAAAAGAGAAGGAGTTCTATTTCATTATAAAATCCTACTTTAAAAATTATATGACTTGGTATCATATCACTTACATGTAACTTTTTCTTCTCCCTCTGCAAAGTTTGGTAAGCTGTAAAAAGCTAAAATAAAGAAAAAATTGTAAGTAACATTATTCATTCCTAATTAAGTATAATTATTCCTAATTAAGTATAATTATTCTAAATTCTACTAAAACATTTTACTAGGGAAATTAAAAAGAAATAAATAAGAATCCTTTTATAGAGAATTAAATATAATTAGAAGCAAAGGGAGTTGAAACAAAATAACAGCCATACATCCACCAAAACTAAAATATAAGGACAAACAACAAAAAAATGAAACAAAAAAGTTAAAATAATATAAACAAGGATAGTAGATCTCTATTTGTCTTCACCTTAGATATGCATCTCTTTACATTTCAATATTTAAGTTACAAGTGGAATTAGAACGACTTTGCCTAAATTAGGAGGCTAGTCAAAATTATTGGGACAGACCAGTACCATCAGCAACATGACACAGAAGTTTATTATAAATAGAAATTCTTTGGTCTAACCCAAAATTAACAAATAAAAATGAAAAACAGGATAGGATAAACTTAGAAATATGTGTTTTTACAAGCTTTTCGTGGTGACTTTTTTACTTTGGGTTATAACTGACCATATAATTAATGTCTGAAAATTCCTTTCAACTCTAATAGGGACTATGGGCCTGGATCTAAATATAGGAAGGAACTCATAATCAATGAATGAATCAATGAATCTGGCAATTCAGATCCTAAAGAAACAAAATCATTTAACCTGAATAAAATATTTAAACATTTCCAGCACAGTCTGCTAGAATGTAATTAAAAATTAACAACAACAAAACTGGGGGGGTATGCAGTTTGGAGCCACACCTGGTGATACTCAGGACTTGCTCCTGGCTCTGTGCTCAGAGATCACTTTTGCTGGGGCTCAAGGGACCATATGTGGTGTCAGGGATCGAACCAGGTGAGCTACATGAGCCTTCACCCCTATACTTGCTCTCCAGCCACTGACAAATACCTTTAAATCTATAAATTTTATAGCATTACTCATATGAAGGCTAAGCATGCGGCTCAAGTGAATTATTTGGAGCCTCCTTTAGACATCCTAGTGTTTTCAAAAGAGGCCACTTGAGAAAGCTCTTGGGGAAAGGAGAAAACACCCCTACCCCCAATTCTGAGTCAGGCCGTTTTCCTTGGGAGATGGCTGTATTCAACTGTCTCCTTTGATGCCTTGAGTCAGGGCAAACAGCAGTAGAAAATAAATACAGAAACAAGAATACAAAAATTAAAGAAGCCTGGGGCTGGAGTGATAGCACAGTGGGTAGGGCGTTTGCCTTGCACACACTCAACGTGGCCGACCCAGGTTCGATTCCCAGCATCCCATATGGTCCCCCAGCACCGCCAGGAGTAATTCCTGAGTGCATGAGCCAGGAGTAACCCCTGAGCATCAACGGGTGTGACCCAAAAAGCAAAAAAAAAAAAAAAATTAAAGAAGCCTGCCTGAAACTAAATTCCTCCCCCTATTACTTAAGAGCAGAGAGGGAAATAGTACCCAAAGGAAAAAGTAGTGGAAACATAATCATCCACAAAGATCACTTATAGCACTGTTTCATACTAAACATGTAAAGTGATAAGAAAATGGATGTTTTTGTTTCATCCCTGATAATCTATGTGACTCTACCTGAGGAAAAGCTGCAGACCAACCTGAGTCAAAGACCTGGAATCAGACCCAGACTGCAAATTGCTGCCTCTACGACTTGAAGCAAGTTACCAAATATAATTCTGTCGGCTCCAATTCCCAGTCTACCAAACAGACCTAAATATCAACTTGAGAGGATACAAAATTAAATGATGCTATATATAAAATGCATGGCATTATGCACTCTTAAATGCCAAGTTTCCCAGCTTCAAAGATGCATGGGCAAGTTAGTGAAAATGATATAAATCTAAAAAAACCAAAAACTTCAAGACCATTTATTACCTTTCAAATAAAGTCTAAACAAAGAATAAAAAATTGCAAGGAAAAAAAAAACTGCCTGATTCCTACAGTGCCTCTCCAGATACATCGTTTTTACCAGTCGGCCAGTAGATATCAGCCAGATAATCCACTTCTTCCTATTTTGTCAGCACTTTCTAGTTTTAGAAAGTTATTTTATATATTCATATAAAAGTGTTTCTCAACTGGTTTAGACCATGTCTCCTCTCTGGGGGAAAATGGGGGGCATCCCAGCAGTGCTCAGGGTTTACTTTCGGCTCTGTCCTCAAGGATCACTCCTGAGGGTGCTCAGGGTACTGAACTCGAGTGAGCCACATGTACAAGGCACATGCTTACCCATTACACCATCGCTCCAGCCCCAACCATGGACCCTTCTGATCTTCTTTCCTTCTTGCCCACCTTCCACACTAATTGGCATCTAATCTCCTGCTGTGCCCTTCCATCTCCCCCTTGCATTTACACGATATTCTTCACCTGTGCCCTCTTAAAATATCCTGGGGCCTACACTTGGCCCCTATTGAGAAACACAGTTTAGAGTAATTTTGTTCTTCTTGTTTCTGATTGCAGGATAAACGACCCACATTTCAAAACTGCCATAACTGAAATAGAAGTTTAGATGTTAGGGTTAACAGTACATTCGTTCATTTAAACTATGATGCAGATTTACTGTTAAGAAAAGAGTGTTAAGCGCCATTAAAAAATAAATAGCAATATAGGGAATGGCTCAAAGGACTGGAGTGCAAGTTTTGCATGCATGCAGAAGAGTCCCAATTTCAATCCCTAGCACTACATGGGCCGTAGTACTACATGGGCCCTTGGCACCATGAGGAGAGACCCTGCAAGCACCAAAAACCAAAACTCAGAAGCAAGCATGGGCAACATGCTCCAGAAAAACTTTCCTGAGGAAGAATCATTTTACCTCCAGAGGACAGGGAAGGTGGCCCATCCAAGATACAAGATAGGGATAAAGGCGTCTGGGGAGCTAGTAAAGTAGGGAGGGTACTTGCCTACTTGGGTGTGACACCTGGCACCCATTATGCTTAAGCCATACCAGGAGTGAGCCCTGAGTAATGCCAGGTATGGTAAAAACCAGGCAGGGAGAGAAAGGGAGAGAGGGAAAAAGAAGGAGAGAGGGGGACAGAGGAAGGGAGAGAGAGATAGAGAGACAGAGAGAGACAGAAACAGAGACAGAAAAGAAAGACATGGAGGAAGGGAGGGGAGAAGCACTACTTCCTTTTCCCTTTGATCCCTGGCACCCCCATATGATCCCCTAAGCCATACCAGGAATAAGCCTTGAACACAGACCCAGAATTAAGCTCTGAGTACTGCCAGGTGTGGTTAAAAACTAGGGAGCGAGAGAAAGGGGTGGGGCGGGGAGGAAGAAGCACTACTAGCACTACTTCTTTTGACCATACAGGAAGTGTCATTCTCAAAGGAGTTACCAGTTAAAAGGGTAATTTTGAGATGACTAAAGGAAAATGATAGTGAATCAACTGTGCCAGAAAAATCAGACTACTTAGAACAACTGGTGTCAGTACCAACAGGAACATGACTGAAAGAAGAGCTTATTTTGGAGCTACTGCATGAAATAAATAATAAAATAAAGGCCCTCCCGTTGATCGTCGATTTGCTCGAGCGGGCCCAGTAACGTCTCCATTGGAGACTTTGTTGTTACTGTGTCTGGCATATCGAATACTCTCGGTAGCTTGCCGGGCTCTCCGAGAGGGGTGGAGGAATCGAACTCGGGTCGGCCGTGTTGGCCGCTTGTAAGGCGAATGCCCTACCCGCTGTGCTATCGCTCCAAAGGGGGAGCAAAAGCATCATGAGGCGGAGAGTCGATGAACTCCAGAGAGGGTCCATGAGACCTGAAAAAGGGATGGGCGAGGAAAGGAGCACAGGATATGAAAACCGAGAGGCTACAGACAAGGACATCCAAAACTCCACTAAGGATCTTGCCAGTATCATAGCCATTGCCATAGACGTTCTACATATGTAGAGGACCAATAGCTTAACATCAACAAGAGTAACCTCCACATAGTAACAAGAGTTCGAGATCAAGAAGAAGAAATGTTTGTACAGGCCAAAAATCCATGCACCTACCTCAGAATACTTTCCTTTGTAGTTACTGAGTCTTCGTTCTGTTCTTTGCAAAGACTGAATCAGGTGTTCTTTGCTGAGATGGTCCAAATTCCCTAGTGAGTCTTCGGCTTCACTCTCCATATCAGAGGGTGGATCAAAGGCCACAGCAGCAGAAGAGTCTAGGTCAAATCGGTTCAGTGACTCTCTGGAAGATGTTCGGACCAAAGACTCTTTAGAAGGAGATCGGAATAGAGATTCCTTTATCGGACTTCGGAACAAAGACTCCATGGAAGGCACCCGGAGCTGGAGCTTCTGTGCGAAAGACTGCGTGTCACCTGACTGCAACCAAACCCAACAGAGCAGTGGGTTAGAAGCCACATTCTCAACTCCTCATCTATCCCTATGATGACAGCACTGTGACAAATTCTGACGACTTCAATTTACACTCCTGGAATTTTACATGATAATACGTTATTCCCGGAAAAAAAAAAAAGTGCTGGACCTGGAGTCAGGGGAGTGGGTGTGCAGGCCCTAGTCTGTCACCAAGCAGAGAAATGTCCTTTTCTAAAACATTTCCCTTTAGTTTGCTCATCTGTAAGAAAGGGGGAGTCCCCAAAGCTTCCCAGCTGTCTTCGCAGGCATGAGGCAGTCCCTAAACTGTCAGATCTTTGGAGGCAGTAAACACCTATATTGTGATCTTTGATCACTGGTCCATGGACTTGTGTTGGTCTCAGGGATAGGAAGGCTAAAAACCACTAGTCTGATGCCTTGGTTCTAATGGTCAGTGGACCAGAAGTAGGACAGGGGCCAGCCTGCAGGGGTAGAGAGGTTGAAGACCGCTGCTCTGTAGAACTGGAACACAGTTTTATAGATCAGCTATGTACCATGAGCATAGAGAGTGTGGCTGGAATCACAAGGCCTTTCCGGGGTCTGCAGAACAGTGATTCTGCTTCTTTTCAGATCACTCTTCTCAAAAATGAAGACTAGGGTGGATAAATAACTTGTAGGGAGTCCACCCAGCCTGGATTCGATCCCCAACATACCATATGGTCACCCGAGCACCGCCAAGAGTAATTCCTGAGTGCAGAGACAGGAGTAAATCCCTGTGCGTCACCAGGTGTGACCCAAAAAGCAAAAAAAAAAACCAATATCCAGCATCCAATAGGGGCCCCTGAGTCTGCCAAGAGTGATCCCTAAATGCAGAGCCAGGAATAATTCCTGAGCACCATGAGGTGTCGCACAAACACCAACACACACACATAAAAAATATCTCAGTGGACAGTTGAAAGATCTCAGTCATTCTGCACAGTTCTGCAAGTTCATGGCTAGCTAGAAAGTAATAAAATAATAAGCTGGGTCAAATAATGGCTCAGTGATAGAACATTACACTTTGCATGTGTGAGGGCTGGGCTTAATATCCAGCACAGAAAAAAAAGAAAAAAAACGTAAAGAAAGTACCAAAAAGAAAGTTTAAGAAATACTCTTCTGGGGCTGAAGAGATAAGTAAAGTAGATAAGGCACTTGCCTTACATGTGGCCAACCTGGGTTGGATCCCTGGCATCCCATATAGTCCTCTGAGCACTGCTAGAAATGATTCCTGGGTGCAGAGCCAGGAGTAATCCCTGAGCACCACCCAAAAACAAAATTTAATGAATAACAGTACATTCACTTGAAAAGTAACAAGAAAAACAGTGGAATTCAACAAGCTTTACTAAGCAACATCACTTTGTCCTGACAGGGGTCCACAGGTGTTTCTTTAGAACCTTGTTCTCCTGAGTGTCACAGAGTCACCTGCAAGATCTCCAAGCTGCATGGAGTGAAAAATGCTCAGGGGAGACAGAGGTCAAGTGCAGGCAAAGATCACAAAAAAATAAAAAGTCTTCTTCCTAAATGGTTTTAATGAACCCGGGACTACTTTAATCCATGTCATAGCAGTATCCAACCAGGTAGGAGTTAGCAGAAAAGGGAACATACCTCATTCCCTGCATACGGACAACTTTCTCACAGGGTGTTTATAAAGCAAAATTGGAAACACACCAATGTTTACCTCTAGGGGATACATTAAATTACAACAAATGGAAGGAGGTGTGAGGAATATTACTAATGGGGAAAATCAGCGTTTAAAATAGCATGTGTTCTGAAACCATTCTGACTAGAAGTAATCACATACACTGTTTATCGTACATAATGTTTACATTATGGCAAAAACATCCTTAGAACCAAGTTAATACAAATACCAGCAGTTGTGAGAGGTTCTGGGTGTGATAGCTCAGATGATTCTGAGAGCTGTTTTTATATTTTTCTGCACTTTCTAGATTTATTTTTAACAAAGTCTGTTTCCTATAAAGCTAAATGTAAAAGTTGTGCAGTGGCAGGGCTGAAATGCTTCCAGTCAGGCTCGCTGAGCACTGTAGGAGACACCCCCTGCGCCCTCAGCTCTGCCTGGGGGTTTCCCCCACAAAGAAGAAAACTAAGACCTAAGACAGTAGGGCAGGTGCTCTGCCACTGGCAAACCCTGGGCCCCGATTTTTTTTTTTTTTTGCTTTTTGGGTCACACCCGGCAATGCACAGGGGTTACTCCTGGCTCTGCACTCAGGAGTTACTCCTGATGGTGCTCCGGGGATTATATGGGATGCTGGAAATCGAACCCAGGTCGGCCACGTGCAAGGCAAACACCGTACCCGCTGTGCTATTTCTCCAGTCCCTCCCCCTGATTTTTTTAACTAGTAAAAAAATAATCATAAGTGAGCGATACACCTACATGAACTACTTTCATTTAAGGCTTTAAAAAAAAAGTCAACAAACCTACTTCACTGTACATAATTACAACAAAAGTTTGGGCATCACTGTTTTCATGTAAAGCCAAATGCTAATAATTAAGATTGACGACACAATAAGGTTGCTTAACTTTTAATTAACATTTATAAACAGACCTGAGGAGTCACTGGTTCACTTCCATTAACACTGTCGGGAGATTTTGTAGATGCATTCTAAAAAAGTAAAAGAAGGTAATGTAAAGAAAAGGAACAGAAAACTAGTTTTAAAATGTTAAAAATAAAGGCAACATATCAAGAGCCATTAGATGTGTTTATTAAATAAAATTAGTATCTCTTCACTTATTAGAACGTTTTCATGCAAGGCAAAACTAGTATGATAAGTATTTTAGGAAATTCATTTTGCTGTAATATATGGAAAACTAAATAGCAGAGATTAGTATGTAGCAAATGTAATTCAATCAAATCACATACCTCTCCCCATGACTTTTTTTCTCCCTAGTTTATTTTTCCACAAGGCAAAATATCAGAAACTTATTAGAAAAATTCATCAAAATAGAAAACTTTCCAGGAAAAAAAACAAGTAGTGTTATTTGTTCACTACAATAGTCTCAAAGTAGAACTATTTGGACTAAGTTCTGAAAAGCAATTTGATCATAAGAAAGAAATGACTCATTCATAGAGTCATTGGTCTAAATTAAATTCTGACAATTTTCAGAAAAACAATTCAGAAAAGCTTCCACGCCACACATGAAAGCTTTTTGTTTTGTTCTGTTGATATGGCAAAGGTTCCAACTTAAACAACATTCTACTGATTATGTCAAACTAACCTAGGTTCCATTACGATGTATAAGATTCTTTGAGATTCAAAACTCTGTACTGTATCCTGTCTAACTAAAATAAAAACCATATAAATAAGTCGTTTTTGTTTTTGTTTTCTTTTTGGGTCATACCTGGAGATGCTCAGGGGTTACTCCTGGCTCTGCACTCAGGAATTACTCCTGGTGGTGCTCAGGGGACCATATGGGATGCTGGGAATCAAACCCAGTCGGCTGAGTGCAAGGCAAACACCTACCCACTGTGCTATTGCTCCAGCCCCCAGGTCGTTTTTATAAGTAAATCATTTTTATCACTGTCACTGTCCTCCCACTGTTCATCGATTTGCTCAAGCGGGTCCAGTAACATTGTGAGACTTGTTACTGTGTTTGGCATATCGAATACGTCACGGGGAGTTTGCCAGGCTTTGCCGTGCAGGCAAGATACTCTGAGTAGCTTGCCAGGTTCTCAGAGAGGGGAAGAGGAATCAAACTCAGGTCGGCCACTCCTGCAAGGCAAACGGCCTACCCGCTCTAAAAAAAAAAAAAAAAAAAAAACTCCAAACAAAAGCATCTGACCAGGAGTTTAAAAAATAATAAAAACATTTCCCTAAAGATGACCAAGAAAAGGTGACATATGTAAATCTTAATCTTAAACATAAGTGCCAAAGACTTTCCAAAGAATGTTTCTGCATTGTGAATCACAAAATATCAGATACTAAGAAACTAATTTGAGATATGATAAACGTATTGTGGTTATAAATTTTTAGTCTTTTTCTTTTTAAATACACACTAGAATATTTAGAAATGAATTTAAACTTCTGAGAATAATTGCTACAAATAATCTAGTGGAGAAGCTGAGTGTGGGAGGGTGATAGGGTTGTTTGTAGATAAGAATGGGTTGGAGTGGAAATGAAAAAAAAAAATGGCCAAAAGTTATTCACTGTAATCCTGGCAATGGGTGCAGGGAGAAGGAAGGGTACTTCTCAGACCAGTACTTTCTACTAGTTCCATTTTTGTAATAAGTTTGAATTTTTCCCAAGAAAGTACTGAGATATCACAGTAAAGGGTGTGGCTCAGTAGTAGAACACAATGCCTCCAAGCATGAAGCACTTGGTTTGATCAGCAGCCCGCAAAAACTGAAAGACTGCAAATTTTATCAATTCATTTCCTTAATGTTATAAAGGGAGGTAGGGTAATAGGACATAAGAATTTAGGTTTATCTTCCTGTTCTGTCACTTTAAAGAATCAGAAGTTACATATACAACATAAATATGTGGTTTCGGGGCTGGAGAGATAGCACAGCGGGTAGGGCGTTTGCCTTGCACGCGGCCGACCTGAGTTCAATTCCCAGCATCCCATATGGGGTCCCCTGAGTACCGCCAGGAGTAACTCCTGAGTGCAGAGCCAGGAGTAATCCCTGTGCATCACCAAGTGTGACCCAAAAAGCAAAAAAGAAAAAAAAATGTGGTATCATAATGAATCACATGGCAGAGTCTGGCAAGCTTCCCGTGGCATATTCAATATGCCAAAAACAGTAACAATAACAGATCTCATTCCCCTGACCCTGAAAGAGCCTCCAGTATGGCACCATTGGGAAGGACAAGGAGAGGCTGCTAAAATCCCAGGGCTGGGACGAATGGGGACGATACTGGCGCCCGCTCGAGCAAATTGATGAACAACAGGATGACAGTGATACAGTGATCATAATGAATGCTTTCCAGTCCAGAACATTGTTAAAGATGATACTATAAAGACATACATATAAGATCCATAAATTTCTTAGTTAATCAATATATTGAAAGGACTCTGTAAAGTATTTAAGGAGGAAGCACGGCAAGAGTCCTTATTTTAACTAGTTAAGGGATGACTGTGGTATGTATTTTTTTTTAAGTTTCTCTGCTATTAACTGAGTTATCTCCTATCAAACAAACAGCACATTTAAGACTTTTTCCTCTCCTGCATCTACTATTCCACTTATGTGCTACATCAGACACCTAAATAAATGCAGAATGGGACTGCTAAGGAAGAAAGCATTGGTCTACATTAGTAGGGGAATAAGGAATCTCCAGAAGCAAAATCAGACATTTTATCATCTATCATGATGGCTTCTCAATTTCTACCCAGCAAAGTTTGTCCAATAATTCTTCTTTTCTGAAACTTCACGTGACTTGTCTATAGATCAAACATATTTCCTATGCCTGTACTTTCCTCTATGAACTTACAATCCTTGGGATCCTAAGTCCTTGGAATAATAAATCCTTGGGTTTGGAAGTTTATGATGACAACTCTTTCTTGCAGATACTCTCAAGAGAGCAGGATTCGTAAGCTTTCTCTTCATCTTCAGGACTTAATATTTTGCCTGACTGGCAAAATTCAATAAAATGCTGTTCACCCCCTAGGCATTCCCTTTAGTATAAGAAGATCTGTGAGGGTCTCTCCCAAAGAGAAGCCTGAAGAACTACCTCATGTCAATACCTGAGAGTCCCACTGCTTTCTGCTTAAAACAATTTTCAGGTGAAAGAAAAACTTTTTCAAACTGCACTTAATAGCACACACAGAGAGATTCCTTACAGCTCTATCTTTGTTTATATTTTTTCCAGTGCTTCAATAATTATTTACAGGACACTAAGGATGCAGTGGTGCTTAGAATTTGGGGCAGAAAAATTCATTTTACAAAATGCTGAATTAAGAAAACACTGGTGATTGGTGAACTGAATTTATGTCACGAATTAGAGCCTCACCAAATTTTTATTCTTTTAAAGGTTTCCCTTTGTTGTCTGGGGAGAAATACTTTTCTGTCTAAGCCAACCAAAATTTAAAAATAAGGGAAGCTGCTCAGTGATGGAGCATTTGCCTGGCATGTGTGAGGTTCCTGAGGACACTTTAAAAAAAAGGAAGAGGGGCTGGAGCTATAGCACAGCGGGTAGGACGTTTGCCTTGCACGTGGCCGACTCAGGTTCAATTCTCAGCATCCCATATGGTCCCCTGAGCACTGACAGGAGTAATTCTTGAGTGCAGAGCCAGGAGTAACCCCTATGCATTGCCGGGTGTGACCCAAAAAATAATAATAATAATAATAATTTGCCCGAGCTGGTCCAGTAACGTCTTCATTATGGGACTTCTTGTTACTGTGTTTGGCATATTGAATACTCTCGGTAGCTTGCCAGGCTCTCTGAGAGGGGCGGAGGAATCGAACCTGGCTCGGCCGGGCTGGCTGCGCGCAAGGCAAATGCCCTATCGCAATAATAATAATAAATAAGTAAATAAAAGGAAGAAAAGAAACAAATTTCTTATAAACCTTAAGATTATGTAACACTTTTACTCTGGTTAGGTTGTTTTTATAGTTTTATTTTCTTTTGGTTTTCTCCTTGAGCCATATCTGGCAGTCCTCAGAGGCTACTCTTGACTAGGTACTCAGGGGACCAAACCTGGGGCTCCCACATGCGAACCAAGCACTCTAGCTGTTCGAGCTGTGTCCCCAGCTCCTTAACTAGCATCTTGAGGGCCCAAAGAAGAAGGGGCATTCATTTCATGCAGTGAACCACAGTCTGATTCCCAGTACCACATGATCCCTCACATCACACCCCATCACGGGACGCAGCCCTGGAGGCCTCCCAGCACTACCAGATGTGGCCCGGGTCCCTCTGGCACTACAGGGTCCCAGCAGCACTGCATGCTCGGGCCTGTGCACTGACCTGCCTGCCCAGTTATCCATGAATTGTGGGAAGGAGCTCACAGGACTCCTGAAAACCACTGAGGAGGCCAAAAAGATAAGTATTTTAAAATGAATTTCAAATTCCTTTTATATACTTAAGTGGATGAAGCTTTTTTTTAAAAAAGTATCAATTATTTAACATGAACTTTATATAAAGCATTATCATTTTACAATTGAAAAATACATTGCCAAGTTCACAGAAACTGGGAATCCTGAAACTCGTGATTTGTTTGTTATGTGTGGACTGAGATCCAAGCATCACTAGCAATCCCATTTTTACTCTGGGCTGCTTTTTCTACTTTAAAAAAAAAAAAAAAGCAGGGGTGGAACTGAGTGAGGAAAGGGATATTCCCAGCTCCTAGCATCACTCAGACCAGAGGTGTGGGCCATGCATCCATACCATGTTCCATCCACCCTCGATCAGAGGCCTGTGGAACTCAGAGGCCACCAGTGCTAGACTCTGCTTTGCTTAAGACTATGTAGAGCAAGGTACTGAACCCTGGGTCTCAAATAACCAAGATCCGAGGCTCCACCATGTAGCTACCTACTCTTTTCTTTTTCAGTCCTTACTGTTTTTGTGCTATTCCTGGTGGTGCTCCAATGCTAGTTACTCTTGGGACAGTGCTCAGTATTCAGGGGCTGCTCTAGAGTTTAGAAGACCATGAAGTGAGTGCCAAGGATTGGAATGTGGGGTTCCCACATGGAAAGCAGGTGCGCCAACATTTTGAGCCATCTCCCAAGCCCTGCTTTCTTTGCAGATTCTAAGCTACAGAAATGCTCTAATTTCATTACCAATTTCCAAAACGAGACCTCCACGCCAGAGAGTGTACAGCGAGGAAGGCACTTGCCTTGCTCATGGCTGACCCAGGTTCAATCCCCAGCACTCCATATGGTCCCCTGAGCCTGCCAGGAGTAAAGCTAGGAGTAAATCCTGAGCACAGTTTTGCTGTGGCCCCAAACCCAAAAGGATAAAATACAAAAGTTTTAAGAGTTAATAAAATATCTCAACCCCAGTTTATTCAATATCTCATCTAACTCCAAAAGTCATCCTTAGTGAGCAACTAAACACATTTGTTTTAATTTGCTAAAATTAGAGCCTGAGTACTTAAACCAATGCTACTTCAATAAAAGCAAAAAATAACAAAAAGGGTTTTTTTGGGGTTTTTTTGTTTGTTTTTTTAAAGAATTTGGACATGTAAAGTGGCCAAAGGGATAGTACAGGGTTTAGGGAATTTGTCTTGCATGCAACTAACCCCAGTTCAATCTCCAGTTTACCACAAATGGTCCCTGAGCACCTCCAGGAGCAACCTATGAGCACAGAACAGGCTCCACCAGGTGTGATCCAAACACACCTCTCACCCCAATAAAAAGAACTTAGATACTCTAAGTAGGAACAAGTCACTTTCTTACAGTGTATACAAAATTCAAAACAAAGTCACTTTCCTAAAGTATGTACAAAATTCAAAACTGCATGGAGTCAGTTGGAAAAAACTGAAATAATTCTTTCAGATGTTTAGTATGTAGAAATGCGATCCTTTCTTTTTTTTTTCTTCCAATATTAGGATTGAAACCCAGGACCTCACGCATGCAAGGCAAGTGTTCTAGAGCTACATTCCCCAGGCTGTATGTGGCAATTATTTTTTACAACTGAATTCACTGTCTGCCTATTCAATATCGTTTAATTGTGAATTTACAAACAAAGTAATTTTTTCCTAAAATGATGAGTCATATCTCAAAATAGTCTTGGCCCCATCAATGGCAGACCAAAGAGTTCTAGCAGTGCATAGTTTTTCCCTGAGAGGGCAAACATTCCCTAGGGGAGTAAATGTTAAAGAGTAAATGTTTAGACCAAGACAAGGCAGTCTTAGCTCCATTAATGGAAGCTGTTACTTGGTTGCTGTTAAGAAGCTGCCACAAAGCACACACCAGCCATCAAAATTCAACAATATACTCTCTGATTGTTTTAGAACGGGGTTAGCAACAGGCAGTGAAGGTGCTTTGAGAGATGGTAAGTGACAAGCAACAGGAGAACTGTTTCTAGAATTACCAAATTGCTTTGCTTCCCTACAAAGGGAATGCAGAAAGCGGTGGAAGGACTCACCACACTGTCAGTCTGTGTTTTAGGATGTTTGGAGGGATCCAAAGCAAAGATAGTATACTCAGAGAGAAAAGCAGGCTCTGCTATCATCCCGGCTAGTAGCTGTCTCATTCAGTGTAATAAGCAGAGGTATGAAAATAAAACAAATGATGAAAACAAATCATAAGGGTAAGTTGCAAAGTGTTCTCACCACACAACGTGCACAACACAACAGTAGCCAGTATCACCACCACCACCACCACTCCACCCTTACACACAACAGAAGCTCAGGGACACCTTTCATCTGTCAGGGTCTCAGAGCCCCCACTTACAATTTGTTTCCTGGTGTCACAAATGATATATGCAATAGGCACCGCATGTGCCTACCACCCTGGTATAGGAATCTACACCAGAGAACAATGCATGGTAATGAACACGAATCCTCAGTGTAACCAAGGGAAAGCCATTCATTTCTTACACGTTCACAGACAGCATGGCGCTTTGGGAGAAATGGCACATGTAAAGCTTTCAACACTTGTTTGTACTTACATACAAAACTAGTTTCCTTCAAATCACAACAAGAAAAAAAATGTTAATACTGAAATTTCTAAAAATTTTTAGGGATAAGCTCCATTATAAGAAATAAGCTGCTTGAGCTTTCTTTCAGAAACTAGACACTACCCAAAAGACTAACAATAATCATGAGAAAATGTATGAGAAATCATAATCAAAATAAACATTCTGATATGAAGTTACACCAATCTACACATGATAAAGTGACACAGAACTACTCCCACACGTGATAAGTACAGGCAATACAGGTGACCCTGCTCTCACAGTTCACCAATGTCACATTCTTGCTGTGACAGAACTAGAGTTAGGTAAGTGGTGCCTTGAGAAAAGCTACACCAAGGGACACAGGATCTCGCTGAAAAAAAATAAATTTTCAGAAACACCAACTTAATACTGCATAGTATATACAAGTCAGATGTTCTATAAAGACACACATCAACATAGGCTCAAGAACTTGCACTTCGCAGGGCAGGAGCGACAGCACCGCGGGCAGGGTGTTCATTTTGTACTTAGTCAACCTGGGTTCAATTCCCAGCATACCATAAAGTACCCCAAGCACTGTCAGGAGTAATTCCTGAGTACAGAAGCCAGGAGTAACCCCCCTGCATCGCCAGGTGTGACCCAAAAAGAAAAAAAAAGTTGCACTTTGCTCTCAGTCCTGTAGTGCTGAGTATTATACGGAGCCTTCACTATGACTTTGCTGGCTGTACATTACAGACTGATTTACTGAGAGAGAGGACCAGCACATCTAAGTCTTTTTATACTTGGTAGCTAATAACTGGCACTCCTTGGTTAAGAATTGACTTTATGAGGCCAGATAGCACATCGGATAAGGTGTCTGCCTTGCACATACTGACCTGGGTTCAATCCCAGAACCCCAGAAGGTCCTCCGAGGACCACCAAGAGTTAGCACTGAGCACAGAGCCATGAGTAAGCCCTGAGCTCCCCGAGTGTGACCCTGAAACAAAAACAACAACAAAAAACTGACTTATGGGAATGAAGAAACAGTACAGTGGGTAGGGCACTTGTCTGCACATGGCTGACCAGGGTTCAATCTCCAGCCCTCTATATGGTCCTCTGAGTCCAGCAAGAAGTGACCTCTGAGTGCAGAGCCAGAAGTAAACCCTGAGCACAGCCAGGGTATGGCCCCAAACCCCCAAAATAATAATAGTAATAAAAAAATTTTACAATTAAGAACGCATTTGAAATTTTAGGGGGAAAACATAAAAGCTGGTGCCCAGTATTAAAAAGAACACACTGACCAGACATTTCAAAAGATGCTGCCAAACAAAACTTCATACAGCAGTCCATCTCCAAGTAAAAGCAAAGTCATTCAAAGTCAGCCATTGCCAGCAACTACCCAAGGCTGAAGGAACCTTTCCTTAATGGTTGTCCTTGGCATGTGCCACTTTTGTCTATGCTAGCCTTACCAGCATCGGTTCTCAAAACGCTTTCAAGAGAACTGGCTCTTCACTCGACCTCCTAAACTTTGTTCTAGTTCTTATCCCAGTATGCTAAGAATCCCATTCCCCCAGCTGTGTGGTCACTGACGAAAGCCATCAGTGGAGCTGACACAAATTCAGGGCTTCTGATCAGCTGGTCTCATGGTGCCTGAGACGGAGCCCAGAGCCTCGTTCACAGCCAGTGCACACTGACAGTTCACAGTACAAAAATCTAAAGATCTATGAAGACAACTAATCAGATGCTTGCTGGGAGCAATCTAATCTTCCCTCCCGCCTCTTACTCTCACAGGAATTTTTCCTTCCAACCTCTGTGGTTCTGGCGGAGGTAGTATTCTTTTTAAAAATCCCTAAGTCTCTATTGAACTGGAACCAGGGGCCAGTCTGAGTTTTACTGTGATTTATATTTTTACGTCAGTTTTTTTTCCATTTTCAGGATTTCTAATTGGTTCCTTTTCATACCCATGAGGTCTAATTTTATTCTGACCTATTTTCCTCCACAATTTTATAGCCTTTTAAAGAAAATTGTTACTTATCTTACTAAACATACTGTTTTAAAGTCTTTCCAGACTGAGACTGTCCTATTATTTTAATTTCATCAGCAGTAAATTTCTATTCAACTCCTAGTTTTATTGAAACACTGGTTTTAGAATTTTCACTTGCAGGCTCATTTGGAGAAAGGTATTATCTTTCTCCTTCCCTCTAGACCCAGTAATCCTTATCCAGTCAATCTATTCCCAGGGCCCCAGTGTGGGTTTGGAGGGTTATCATCAGACTCGAGTCACTGAGCCAACATGAGGTTTGGTTCAGTTCTTGGCCAGGAAGCCTCTCCAGGGACAGCAGCTTCTCATAAAGGCCCTCAAAGAACTGGAGGCCACAAGCTAGCAAAAGCTTTTTTCAAAACCTCCCTTCAGCATCACCAAGAGACCCACTTTAGTACTGAGTTGAAGCACTAAATCAAAAGGAACTTTACCAGATCTTTTCGACTAAGGTTCAAAGAGAAAATTAAGCCCTAAAATTATATGTAAGTGAATTGAAATTTTTTTTAAAAATTTAATAAAAGTAAGGGCTAGAGCGATAGTACAGCGGGTAGGATGCTTGCCCTGCACGTGGCTTGACCCAGGCTCTATTCCCAGCATACCAAATGTTCCCCCAAGCCCCACTCGGAGAAATCTTTGAGTACAGCGCCAGAAGTAAGCTCCAAGTACTGCCAAGTGTGGCCCAAAAACCAAAATATAAAAAATTAAAAAAGGCCCTCCCATTGTTCGTCGATTTGCTCGAGCAGGCCCAGTAACGTCTCCATTGGAGACTTTGTTGTTACTGTGTTTGGCATATCGAATACATCACGGGGAGCTTGCCAGGCTCTGCCGTGCGGGCGAGATACTCTCGGTAGCTTGCCGGGCTCTCCGAGAGGGGCGGAGGAATCGAACTCGGGTCGGCCATGTTGGCTGCGTGCAAGGCAAATGCCCTACCGCTGTGCTATCGCTCCAGGCCCAAACTAAACCCTACTGCCTGCCTAAGGAATTTTCTAGCCCCCAAGATAATGAATTAATGTCTCTAATATTGGGGGAGGGACAAAATACAGTGTACGCAAGAGTTAGACTCTTAGACTCTTCTAAGCAAGTATCTGAATTCTCTGACTTAGAGAAGGAACTGTTTCTAGCTTGCCAGGCAGAGTAATATACAATGATTAAGAGTACCACAAGATTAAGTCTACCAAGTCCAGTCTACTCTTTACTTGCAACAATGTATTCAAGAAGTACTTAGCAAAAGAAACAAAATAAAAGTCAGCAGATGCAGAAATTCAAAGCACAGAATAAATCGTTTTAATCCAAGACCAGGAACTATTTGGTCTATACAAAGTCAAAAGCTCAGTAAAATTTGTAGACAGCTCAAACAAACCAAGGTGGGTCCAGAGATGTGCCTATGTGATATGCAGCTGCCTTGAATAGATCAAAGTCTTGAGTTGGATCCCCAGCACCACCGGTAAGACCAATTACCATCATTGGCATTATGATCCTTTGGGCCACAACTCCCTAGGCACCACACCAAAGTGCGCAATCCCTGGAGACGACTGATACAACAACAAAGAGGCAGAGGAGAGGAGAGAAGGAAAGGGGAGAAGGGACAAGCCCCAATCACCAACTGAAACCCCAAGATTCAGAAAGATGCAGGGAAAGATACTAGGTCAAGAAATCAGGAAAGGAGCAACAGATCCAAGGAATTTTTGATAAACCCCAGAGCACATGAGACTAAAAAAAAATGTGATCGAATAGATCAACTCGGATGGGAGCCCTGGGCTGCAGTGTGGGGTTCGGCTTCAAAGGCGCCCTGGAGGAGAGGCAGGCTGCAGCCCGCTCTAAGGTACCCCAGGAGGAACAGGGCAAAGAGGAGACTGCCTCACTCAGAGGTGGCTGTCTGTTCCAGGAGGGGTTCACCACAGTGGTGCAGGACCCACTGCTCTGCGACCTCCCTGTCCAGGTCACTTTGGAAGAGATAGACTCCCAAACAGCACTAGGATATGGCCAGGCCATGACAGTCCAAGTGTGCAAGATGGATGGAGAAGTCGCAGTCCTGAACCAGAGGAAGGCCACCCAAACGCATGTGCACCTCAGGCAGGAGCTCGAAAGGGGCATTCAGCACATCAGCTGGCCTATGAGTGGAGGAACGTACCATCTGACTTGCTGGGGAGAGGCTCAAGGAGGACAGGAAGAAGTTCCGGGACTATCGGATCCACAATCGAGACGAGGCACCCTTCATCAAGAAGCCACAGCAGAGTGAACTCAAGCCAGGGCTGTGCTCTGGTGGCCAAGCTGTGCTCCCCCACCCCAACCACCCACCAAGAAGCCGCAGGCCACTGACTTCTCTGAAAGTGTAGAGGTAACACAGTCACCTCACAGCTCCCTCTGGATAGACTACCTGTGTGGGCCCACAGCACCTGGACTGAGAGAGCTGGTACTTGTTTCTCTCCCACGTGCCTTGCCTGACCTTGATCCCTAACTGGATCCAACTATAATCACATGACAGATCCCATGGAGCTGTGGGCCCAACCCTGTAAATAAAATTAAAAAAAAAAAAAAAACTCGCCACATCAACTCTAAGGAAATGGCCTAATAACTCTACAATAAGGTGGAATAAAAGGCTGGTTCTTCAAAAAGATCAATAAATCTCATACCTCAACTGGCTGGAGCAATAGCACAGTGGGTAGGTCGTTTTTCTTGCACGTGGCCAATCTGGGTTTGATTCTTCCATCCCTCTCAGAGAGCCTGGCAAGCTATTGAGAGTGATCCCGCCTGCCCAGCAGAGCCTGACAAGCTCCCCATGGCGTATTCGATATGCCAAAAACAGTAACAACAAGTCTGACAGTAGAGACGTTACTGGTGCCCGTTCGAGCAAATCGATGAACAACAGGAGGACAGTGCTACAGAGAATGCTGGCAGAGAATGCTATGAACAACTGTATGCCCACTAACTAGAAAACTTGGATAACCTACAAATTCCTAGAAAAACACGTTACCAAAATTGACTCAGGAGAACTAGAGAATTTCAACAGAACTATAAAAATAAAAAGACTGAGTTAATAATAAAATACTTCTCACCCAAAACACAAAACAAAACAAAACAAAACAAAAAACCTAGGGGGCCAGAGCGATAGCACAGCGGGTAGGGCGTTTGCCTTGCACGCGACCGAACCAATCCTGGGTTTGATCCCCGGCATCCCATATGGTCCCCCAAGCACTGCCAGGAGTAATTCCTGAGTGCAGAGCCAGGAATAACCCCTGAGCATCGCTTGGTGTGACCCAAAAAGCAAAAAAAAAACCCTAGGCTCTATGGGGGCTGGAGCAATAGCACAAACGGTAGGGCGTTTGCCTTGCACACAGCCTACCCAGGTTCAATCCCCAGTTCCCCGTATGGTCCCCTGAGCACCGCCAGGAGTAATTCCTGAGTGCAGAACCAGGAGTAACCCCTGTGCATCGCCAGGGTGTGACCCAAAAGGCAAAAACAAAAACAAACAAACAACAACAACAGAAAAAAAAAAAACTAGTCTCAGAGGAGGCTGGAGAGATAGCACAGTGGGTAGGGCATTTGTCTTGCACTTGGCCGACCCAGTCGACCCGAGTTCGATTCCTACACCCCTCTCGGAAAGCCCAGTAAGCTACTGAGAGTATCTTGCCCGCACGGCAAAGCCTGGCAAGCTACCCGTGACGTATTTGATATGCCAAACACAGTAACAAGTCTCACAATGTTACTGGGCCCGCTCGAGCAAATCGATGAACAACAGGAGGACAGTGACAGTGACAGTGATAGGTTCAGAGAGCTTCAGTGTTAAATTATAGTAAAGACTGAAATACCACTGGGGCTCAGTAGTGGAAAGCAGGCCCAGCACCTGTGAAATGTATGAGTCTCTAAATCCAAGTTAATTCAGAGATCCCTCAGTCAGAAGTGACTGAGCCAGCATAGAAAACCCCACTGATTCAGCTGATTCCAAACACTGGGTATTGCATCATGCAAAGTGGGGATGATGCCTTGGCCCCCAGCACCATAGGGCCTGGGAGAGCCAAACAGAGAGACAAGAGTCCTTTATACACTCTCTCTTCTCTCTCTCTCTCTCTCTCTCTCTCTCTCTCTCTCTCTCTCTCTGTCTCCCTCTCTCACTCTCTCTCTTTAGTCTTATGCCCAATCTTCAAAAACAAAACTACTTGAAAAGGCATTGAAATTGAAACACAAATGAAACACAAATTGAAACACAAATGAAACACAAATTGAAACACAAATAAAACACAAATGAAGCACTGAAGCGTACTATACAAGGGTAGGCCTCAAAGGAATTATACCAAGAGATAGTATGTTCATTCCTTGGACCTCATAGACCCGGGTTTTCTGAGCATAACGTGGCCTGAGCAGCCAGCACCACATGACCAGCCCAGGTCTAAGCATCAAACCATATTGCTAAAAGTGACCCTGGACCCTCTGAGTACTACTACATGAAGGTCCAAATAAGTAAATAAAATGCAACTACCAATAAGGTCAAAGAAAATAAGACTGCAAAGAAAGTATACATGTATTTTAAACTTTTATACAACTCTGTCGAATTATGCACTAATAATAACAGTATTATTATTACATAATAATGTAATTATTATTACATTAATAATAAGATGTCATAATAGGATGTCCTCGCATAATAGGATGATGCGCCTGACTGTCCTCACTGCCAGGGCCCCTTGGAGGGGTGCGGGTTGAGCTTTCCTCCCTGCCCCGACCAGGGCTCCGGCAGTCAAAGACCTCCAGGACCAGCCACCACCATGCTGAGACCACTCTCTGCACACATGAAGGTACTGGCAGAGGGACAAAGTCACGCGGGTTCCGGGGCCAAGATCTCCAAGCCTACTCGGATTTGGGCCGAGCATCCTCCACCCAGATCCTCCAAATTCCAGTAGGCGGGGGTCACACCCACCAACTGGCCCCCTGGCGCCGTGTAATCCCATCAACGGCCAAGACTCAGAGACTATGAAAACCAGCTCCCGGAACCGAGTGGCCGCAACATCCTATTATGACATCTTATTATCTCATTCCTACTTTGGACAAACTGGCAGGCTACCGAATGTAGCCTGCCCACACAGCAGAGTCTGGCAAACTCCCCATGGCGTACCCAATATGCCAAATACCAGTAACAATGATGGGTCTCATTCTCCTAAAGAGCCTTGAATATAATCTCAGGGCTAGGATGAAGGAGACGTTACTGGGGCCTGCTCGAGGCAATCAACGATTTGTGATTGTGAATAATAGTATGCGCTAAAGACATGGCGGATACGTCACTAATTTTGAATGTAAAAACTATACTCTGAAATGCTTACAATAATTTATTGTGCTATCTACGAGGGATTTAATTTGTTTTGTTTTAAAGTGATTTATTCATGATAACCTTTCAGTATCTGTATTACAAACCATAATTCCCAAAAAGAGAAAGAAAAAGAGAGAGAGAGCGAGAGAGTGAGAGAAAGAAGAAAAGTGCCTGCCAGAGGCTGGAGTGATAGCACAGCAGGTAGGGCGTTTGCCTTGCATGCAGCCAACCTGGATTCGATTCCCAGCACCCCATTTGGTCCCCCAAGCACTGCCAGGAGTAATTCCTGAGTGCAGAGCCAGGAGTAACCCCTGAGCATTGCTGGGTGTGACCCAAAAAGCAAAAGAAAGAAAAAGAAAAAAGAAGAAAACTGCCTGCCAGAGAGGCAGGGGGCAGGGAAGGAGGTGGGGAGGGAAACTGAGTACTCTGGTGGAAATGTATACTGGTGAAGAGAAGAGTGTTGACACATTACAAGAACAAAATCCAAACCTGAACAACTTTGTAACTGTGTATCTTGCTGTGATTCAATTTAAGAAACTAATTGAAAATTTTTAAGTTATTTTATTCTATTAGCTCTGTTGTCCTTGTGTTTTTTCTTGTTTGTTTTGAATTTGCTCTTATGAGATCTGAAAATCTTGGAAGGAAAAAGAATAGGAGCCAGAGAGGAAGTACAGGGCATTAAGGTACTTGAAATGCATCCCACCAAACCCAGTCCAAATTCCCAGGACCATATACGGTCCCCTGAGCACCACCAGGGGTGCAGAGAACCAGGAATAGCCCCTGAGCACTTCCAGGAGTGGCCCAAACCCCACCCCCCCAGCCCCACACACACACACCCAAAAAATCAGAAGAAAAAAGAAAAATAATAGTAAGAATAACCAAGCATTCCAGAATAACTAAGCACTTGTGTTCTCAAATTTTAGTATGTGATGCCCTAATCCCTGATTTGATATTTCAGGGTGAAACCTTCAGAAGGAACTGAGAGATGTGATCACAAGGAAATCACATATAAAGGGAAAGAAACTCTGCCCCTCCCACCACCATCTTTCCCTAGGTTCTAGAACCAAGGAGAAGCTGTGCCAGGACATGAGACAACAGCTGCACAAACCAGCCTTTACCAGAAACCTGCTGGCACTTTGATCACAGACCACCCTGCATCGAGAACTGTAAGAAATGAAATTCTGTTGCCTAGAAGTTTCCATGAACTGGCAAGAAGGTAAATTTCTACAGTCACTCTTAAACATGCTAGGGATTACTGGATCATATGTCACCATCAGCCCTATGATTCTACTTCTAAACACATACCAAAATAAATGCAGCACACAGTAACCTAATTTAACAACAGCCCCAAACTGAAAACAAACCAAAAGCTTAATGCATAGGATTTACATCTCAAATACTTATTTAAGTGGTAAACTCAAGGAAAAGGAAGGAAGCAAATACCAAAAAGTCAGGACAGTGTTAATCTTGTGGCAATAGGAAGAGAGCACTAAGGTGCTAGCATTAATCCTTCTCTCTGCCTGGTGGTGGCAATAAGCAGCTCTGTTTTATGCATTTGTTTTATTCTCTTTTCTGTAACTGCACCATACTTCAGAGAAAGTGGAAAGAGTGGGGGGAAAACATCTCATCTGAATGATAGGGCCATCTGCAAGTTACATAGAATCAACTGACTTCACAGTTTCCAGTCACTAGTCTAAAAATATTGAACCTTTTCCCATACAAAGTCATGCTCAACAAACTTCTATTCTGAAAACTTGAAATATTCACAACATAGCAGATTATTCTCTCAAGTAAAAACTCACAAAGAAAACACATTACTAGAGCATGACTACTCTGCAAACCAAGAATAATGAGTATGTGGTGTCTGAGAGAAAGCCCAGAGGCTAAGACACAGGCCTCTTTGTCCCCTTTGTCATCCCCCCCACCACCCCACCACCACCACCACCACCACCACATGGCCCCTGGGCATCATCAGGTGCAGTGCTGCAGGGCCTCCAGCACCGCTGGATGACTGCAGAGGTCCTTGGCACTGCAGAACCTAAGCAGCACCACGTCCTCAGGCCCTCATACTGAACCACCCCAGACTGGTAGAGAATCACCAGGAGTGAACCTTGGGCCACCTAAGCACTTGAAGGTCCAAAAAAAAGCATGTAACTACTGAAAAAAAAAAAAGACTAGAAATTATTAGCAACATACTTATTCTTTGATTACAAACACATGTGACTTATCAGAATAACTTGTTTTGCTTTCAATAGTAGTATTATGTGATAGTTCGCAATAAGAAGCTTAAGATAGTTTATGAAAGAAAAAAATTCCAAACTTACCTCTCTATTGGGTGTACCTTCATCACCTTGCTCTGTAAATGAAGATGTTCTGCTTCTATCTCTTGTTGGTGTTGAAGAATTAGAGGAAGCCTGGATGTAAAAATGAAATGATTATACATATAACAAATTACATTGACCAATGTCGAGATTCTTAAACTTTAGGTCACCATCCCATATCTGGGGGTGCATAATGGAGTGCGGGAGCTGCAAAACAGAAAAATGACCACACTGAAGGTTTCTGAACATGCACCACCAAAAAAAATAATTCAAAATCAACCAGATAATAAATTCGGAGCATTGCCACCCATGTTGCTTTCCTTGGGCAATAAGGAGTCACAAGTGGGAGAAATTTAAGAAGTCTGGGTGACGCACTATCTACAGGGCTGCCTCTTTCCTTCTCCGAAGAATGCCGGAGAAGGAAAGAGAAGACCAACACAGGAAAAATGGAAAAGGCAGCAAAACTTCATCAACTAGAAGGACCATGCTGTCCCCTGGCACAGTTGTTCTCTACCAATCACCCAAAGAGAGCACAGTTCATGTTTTGAGGACTATGTATCCTCAGATGAAAACTAAGGCTGTGTCCCCCGACCCCTCTTCCATCTTCATAGCAGGCCACCTCCACATCTCCTGAGCAAAGAGCTACGTGGCTAACATGGCAGCACATATACAGGAACGATAACCACAAAGTTCACCTCCACACAGCAAGAAAACAGCAAACAACAGTGGGGAGGACGTAGAGAAGCCCACACGCTCAATGAGCTCAAATAATAACACAGAAGGTTCTACCAGTACCAACCAATTCTGTAAACTCTCAGCAAATGACTTTTGTGGCACCGTATTTAGGATGCTCGACAGCACTCTGAGCCAACAAAACACAATGAGGTACGAAGACAGAAGTGACAATCCTCCACACACCATAGCCATGCCACTGGACCCCGTGCATGAGTGTTAATACATTAATCACTAGGGAAACCCAGAAGGGGGCGATGAGGCCCTTCCCCACCCCAATGGAGCCAGACCCAGCAGCCAAAAATCTCCAGAACTTAAACCCGTCATGCTCACTGCTGCTCTCCATGAACCAATCTATCCCTGGACATCTCATACTTCATACCACAAATATACAAAGAGTAACACATCCATTTGATTGGGTTTAAAGGCAACCAATCTTAGGGGGAAATATATTTATACAGATATAGATATAAGCACATAAGGCTCAACCTTTAACAACATGTTACTAATCTCTTATAGAAGGACTTAATAGCTCCTGGTTGAAATTCAACAATCTTCACACACTTTCCTCTAAAAAACCTTTTGTTTCCTTTTTAGTGGATTATTCATAACAAGCAATACAAAATAAACAATTTCAGTTCTGCTTTGGGGACAGGGTCTGGGGTTAAGGATGAAAATATAGTGGTGGGAAGGTGTAATGGTGGTAGGATTGGTGTTTGAAAATTAAATGTAATTTAAAAAAAGAGAAATGACAATTGAGGCTGGAGAGATAGCACAGCGGGTAGGGTTTTTGCCTTGCACGCAGTCGACCCGGGTTTTATTCTCAGCATCCCATATGGTCCCCTGAGCACCACCAGGAGTAACTCCTGAGTGCAGAGCCAGGAGTAACCCCTGTGCATTGCCAAGTGTGACCCCCCCCCAAAAAAAAGAAATGAAATGACAATCCAGAAGGCTCGGTAATGGAAAATAATAGTGACATTAAAAAATTAAATTAAAAAATAGCACTGTAGCACTGTCCTCCCATTGTTTATCGATTTGCTCGAGCGGGCACCAGTAACATCTCCATTGTGAGACTTGTTGTTACTGTTATTTTTTGGCATATTGAATACGCCATGGAGAGCTTGCCAGGCTCTGCCGTATGGGTGGGATACTCAGTAGCTTGCCGGGCTCTCTGAGAGAGGCAGAGGAATCAAATCTGGGTTGGCAAATGCCCTACCCGCTGTGCTATCACTCCACCCCAAATTAAAAAATAATTTTTTAAATGCAATAGAGGGCCTGGGTATCAGAATGACAGCAGCTGACATGCTCCAAAATGAGATACAAGACACCTCTAGAAAAGAAAAGCAGAAGATAGAAAAAAAAAACTCTGAAAAGGATAGCTCACCAAAGAACTAGGGGATGAAGTCAGGAGGAACAATCTCGGAGTCCATGAAGAACAGGAAGGTAAATTCAATGAAGAACCACTAGTTAAATCATAGCTAAGAATCTCTGAATTGAAGAGTGCAGGAACAAAGATCTAAGAGGCCAGCAAAAGCAGACCCAAATAAAAAACCCCAAGACATATTAAAATCCCTATGACAAAAGTCAAAGTTAGAGACAAAATATGGAAAGCAGCAAATCAAAATAGAAACTTACATACAAAGGGAAGCACTTAGATCCACAGCAGATCTATCAAATGAGACTCTCTGAGCCCAAAGAGAATGATGGGATATAGTGAAAAAAAACTCAATGAAACAAATACCTCACCAAGGGTACTCTTCCTAACTAGATTATCACTCCAATTTGAAAAAATAATATAGAGCTTCAGGTACAGACAACAACTTAGGGAATTATTAGCCTTGAATCAATTTTGCAAAAAGCTTTAAAGAAGCTTCTTTAAAAGACAAGACTTCGGGGCTGGAGTGATAGTATAGCAGGTAGGGCATTTGCCTTGCATGCTGCAGACCCTGGTTCAATTCCCAGCATCCCATATGGTTCCCTGAGCACCGTCAGGAGTAATTTCTGAGTGCAAGCCAGGAGTAACCCCTGTGCATTGCTGGGTGTCACCCAAAAAAAATAAAAAAAGACTTCTGCATAACATTCACCCATGGTGCTTATGGTTACTCTTTCCCAGATTAAGAAAGGTCTGGTTAGGGCTGGAGCAATAGTACTGCCAGTAGGATGCTTGCCTTGCACACAACTGACCTGGGTTCAATTCCCAGCATCTCAGATGGTCCCCTGAGTCTACCAGGAGTGATCCCTGAATGCAGAGTCAGGAATAGTAAGACTTAGCATGGTCAGGTGTGACACCCCTACCAAAAAAGTCTTATTTATGGGCTGGAGCGATAACACAGAGGCAGAGTGTTTGCCTTGCAGGCGGCTGGCGTGGCTGACCCAGGTTCGATTCCTCCGCCCCTCTCGGAGAGCCCAGCAAGCTACCGAGAGTATCTCGCCCACACGGCAAAGCCTGGCAAGCTTCCCGTATGTATTCGATATGCCAAACACAGTAACAAGTCTCACAATGGAGACATTACTGAGCCTGCTCGAGCAAATCGATGAGCAACGGGAGGACAATGCTACAGTGCAGTGCTATTCCTAGACTGCAAAGGGGTTTTATACTTTTCAATAATGAACTAATATTTCATTTATATTGAATGTTTGATGCTCATTCAGGTGATTTTTTGGCACCTGTAGATTCGGGTAGGGCGTTCGCCTTACAAGCGGCCAACATGGCCGACCCGAGTTCGATTCCTCCGCCCCTCTCGGAGAGCCTGGCAAGCTACCGAGAGTATTCGATATGCCAGACACAGTAACAACAAAGTCTCCAATGGAGACGTTACTGGGCCCGCTCGAGCAAATCGACGATCAACAGGAGGGCCTTTACCTTTACCTTTACCTTTTACTTACTAATGCAGATATTTAAGCATATCTCTATATTTTCCAACATAAACCTGTATTTCCTTTTTAGGGTAAAACACACTTTTATAACTTTTATAAGCCTATTTATATTTTCCCTTAAATTTTTAATTCTAGGGGCTGGAGTAATAGAACAGCGGGTAAGGCATTTGCCTTGCAGGCGGCCGAGCTGAGTTCAATTCCCAGCATCCCACATAGTCCCCTGAGCACCGCCAAGAGTAATTCCTGAGTGCTTGAACCAGGAGTAACCCCTCAGCATTGCCAGGTGTGACCCAAACAGGAAAAAAAAATTCTCTCCTCATTCTTACTAAATTGTGGATTTGTAATTTTATCTATTTCATGTTGACTTTATTTTTGGGGAGATCCTGGGGTTGTACACAAATCAACCAATGCAAGGCAAATGTTTGACTCACTGTACTATCTCTTTATCCCTTATATCATGTTACCTTTAAAATGCATTAGCATAGAATTATTCACTCTATTTATGTATACCTACAGAAAGAGAAAGGTAGTTCTCATAAAAAATTGTTTTCAACTTAATTATTTACAATTTTGTGGAAATTCAGAATTTAGTGCCTTGCATACAACTGACCTGGGTTCAATTTAATCACCGTATATCGCCACCTCCACAACTGACTTTTTTTAATCTCTTTATATGTGATATAAAGAAACATAATAAGGGAACAACAAATGCCCAAAGTCATTGAAACATGAAATTCTGTCTACAGAACTGAACTTATGTGTGGGGGGGGGGGGGGGGGGGGAGAGGGAGGGGCATGGCTGGAAGGGGACATTGGGACACTGGTGGAGAGAGCTAGATGCTCTGGTGAGAGGTGTGTGCTGGAATGATGCATGCATGAAAAGTGTAATTAACAGAATTGTAAATCCTGGCACATCAACGAAAATGGGAAAGGTGAGAAAAGGCAGGCAGGCAGGCAGGCAGGAAGGAAGGAAGAAGGGAGGGGGAGCAAGAGACAAAGAGAGAAAGAGAAAAAGAAGCTGTGATGGTAACATGAGACTATCAGAGAAAATTTACATCCAAGTGAACAAAGTATGAAAATTCTGCACAATCCTTACAACTTTTCTGAGTCAAAAATTGCCCAAGATTATTCATACCAAGCAATACAAAATAAATTGTTTAGGTCCTGCTTTGGGGGCAGGCTTTGGAGGTCGTGAGAATATTCAAAATAATGGTGGTGGGAAGGTGTAATGGCGGTGGGACTGGTGTTGTAATATTGAATGTAATAAATTATCGTGAACAATGTTATAAAAAATTTAATTTAAAAAAATTGGCCCACATACAAAATTCATTAATAAAATTAAGGCTATCAAATTATCTCATTTTTAAGGTAATTCCAAGCTGTACTATTTACTGCTATAAACTGAACAGGTGAAGCATCCCTCTAGCCCAGGGCCTTGATATGAGTCTACCTTGCCCAAGCTAGATATTGAAATACCAGTCCTTT